GCACCCAGGGGCTTCTCTTCAGTCTTAGCTCTTCAAGCTATCCTGTAAGAGAGCTCCAAATTCTCTTGCAACTTCACGCACCTCACTGCCCTCAACTCTTGGGAACAGAATTTGAGATCCTGAAAGCCCAGATGAGCCTCATATATCTTCGGAAAGTAGAAGAAATACTAGTTGAGGTCAGGGGCAGCAAACCAGGGGGCCATTGGTGGAATCAGCTTGCAGACATTTCGAAACCTGTACAGTTTCTTCCTAAAAATTTGAATTGGTGGTAAAGATTTAAAAACCAGATTTCACCAAAAGCTACTGTTCTGGCTTCTCTTAAAAAGCAACTACATTTGGTAACAAGCAGTCCACATTCCTTCATGGCGTCCACCTGCGAGAGCTGAAGGGCTCTCATTTGCTAGCTTCTACCACTCCCTGTTGTATCACACTCTCCTGCTTCACCCCTTTATACCTGCCTGACTCCTGTCTGGTGTTTAGGTTCGTCTTAAGTTGTTTCCCTTAAGGAGAGCTTCTCAAATATTTCCTCTGCGGGACCCCTAAGATCAGGAGAATGAACCATTTTCCCCAGGGCTTCTGGAACACTCCAAAGTCACCTGTCAGAAGCCAAAAATGTTGTTGAAGTACCTATTTTATGTTTAAAAAGTGCAAATTTCAATTTATGCTGCACAGTATATTTGTGTAGCTTGCATAAAAATAATTTTATCTTCCTCCACCAAATCTTAAAAGTAAAACTGAAACGCCGGAAGATGTACTGTGTGTATTCTGTAAGTCCAAAACTTCCACACTACATCACCCATAAATAACCCGAGTTAGAAACCACAATGCTCAAGATGCAAGGCCCAGAGAGACACGGAGAGAGAGTCAACAAGCAGAAAAGAATATGAAAGACACGAAGAATGAGTGAGTGATAAGCTCTTTCTGGCCCCAAGTCACACCTCCTAACCTGGCCCAGTCCGGCTCCTGGGAAATTTGTAGACATCTCCCTGATATCTCTGGACAGGTGTTGGAGTGGTGGCTCAGGGTGAAAAGCAAAGTCTCAAAACAGGAGCCAGGCCAAGTAAGGGAGAGGTGAGGGGCTAAGAGCAGCCAAGTATGGTCAGACGGGAAAGACTGTCGAGGGGCCAGGAGAGAGGCTTGGAGACAGGAAGCGGAGGGTGGAGAAAAGGGCTGGTCAGCATTTGCCCTTTCTCCCACTGAGCCCATCTTTGTCTCACTTCCTCTTACCTCCCCTGCCTCAGAAAAATGAAGTAAAAGAGTTGCCTTGACCTCCTTAAATGAGGGGATCTTCTTTCCAGAATGGCTACATCTCCCACCGTAGAAGAGCAGAAGGGGGATGAGTACCAGGGCTCCTTTCCCTGTCCAAATGGGATTTCTTCCCTTCTCTCCCCGAGAGAGGCTATACCCCAGATCTGTGTTCCTGACTTGGGTGAGTTTATTCCCCCATCCTCCGTGGTAAGGCAAAGACAGGTCTAACGAATCTCCCTCCTATTCCACTGCTTTCAACGCTGCCCTGAATGTAACAAAGAATGTCAAAGACAGGATTTGGATATTTTTCACTAACCATGTATACCAAGAGAAATGGAATCACAGGATGGGGAAGATTCAGGGAGAGGCAGGGGTCCAAGTTTTGGGAAGCCCATCTCATAGCTGAGGATCCAGGGAGGAGGAGGGGTTTGAGAATGGGGAATAGTCCCAGACCCAAAGGTCGTGGCGACATAGCCTCTCCCTGCATTGGTCAGGCCTGGGTCTGAGGAATCCTTGGACCTAAAAAAGGGTCTTAAAAGTCTTGGGCCTTAGCCTCTCAGGTCCTGCAGTTAGGGCTGGATCACTGTCTTCCCACTGAGTCCCATTAGGGTGGCCGGGGGAACCTCTCTTCCCTTTAGGATACAAAACAGCAAATTAAGTTCTGTTGGAGATAAAGCAAAGGCCTTTCTGAGGTGATCCTAGAACTTCTTATTTTCAGCTCTCTGGTCCCAAATGACCTTGAGGGGATAGTGAGGCTCAGCAAGGGAAAGGTCAACGGAGAAGGGGTTACCACTGGTCTGGCCAGGTCAGCTAACTGGGCTATTCTTGTCTAGCTCACTTCTCTGTCCTCTGGCCAGACATATGACGGGAGATGAAGAAGCACCCCCGCACCCCCCACTAGCCCCTTCCTCAGTCAGCATCCAAACTGCTTGATGTGAGTCCTGACCTGCAGATTGTGACCTTGAACTCTGATGCAGGGGCTGTCACCTCTTTTGATAGTTGATAGAATTGCTGATCCTCCTGCTACCGGGGCTGAGGCAGTTTCTTGGAAAGGATTGGCTGCATGCCTGAGGTATCTTTAGCTTGCCCAAGCTGTAAATAGGTGGGGAAATCCAGAAGATGGAATGAGTTCAGCAAAAGCTGGGCACGTCCTGACCTTTGTTCTCAAAACCACTTAGACTCCTGCAGGTGGATCAATGTAGGCTTGAAGGCTTCCTAGTGGATCTCTAATCCAAATTCCGTCTCAACTGAGGCTTGCAGACTTGTCATGATTTTCCCAAGGGCCCAAGGCTGTGGGGTGGTGAAATTCCATAACCCGTAACTCCATAAACATATGCCCATAGCTAGTGCTTTGCTCAGTTGAGATAGCAGCCCTTCCCTTTGGCTTAGTTCTCAACCAGCCCCCACCCACAGGCCACCCTTCCTTCCTTTCAAAGTTCAAACAGCAATAAAAATGAACTGAGGGAAATCATTTTCTCTTCCTCACTAAACCATGGGTGCCCTATCCACCCGATATCTGACCTTCCAATTGTCTTGGGTCTCCACTCCCAATCTTCTAAATAACATGTTGCATCCAGGTTTTCCATTTAGCTGTCCCTCAAACCACTTGAGTCCCTGTGAAGTTTGCAAGACCCCACTCTCAAGCTTACTGCCCAAGGTGGGAGGGGACTAGAAGCTACAGATGGAACAGAGGGTAGGGAGGGGTAGGATTCTTGCCAGAGAGCAATCTGTTCAACATAAGCAGGCCCTAGCAGGCAGGTAGCACAGGGCTGAGTGAGCACCGTGTGGGTCCTCTCTAAATGTTTGCAGACAGACCCTCAACCTCTAACCTCTCAGGTGGTCCTCCAGAGAAATAAGCAGTTGTGACTGGTTACTGGACCTTAGGCTTCAGCCTCAGCCTGCCCGATGGAACCTATGGAAAGTAGGGGAGAGGTCAATGGAAACAGTCTAACTCTGCCTGGAACTGTTCTGGAATCTGGGGAAGCTGCTAAATCCCGTGTCTCTGGCTTTGTTCAGCAAGGTCACCTGCCAAGAGTGGCAGGACGCCAGATAGGAAAGAATCCAAGAATCCAAGAATGGTCTGATCTTTCTAACGCTTTGTTTTTGAGGCAGTACAACTGAACCCAAGTGGTCATTCTAACCTTTGCCTTCCTTTCTCCCATTTCATGGGAAAAGATGTATGTATGTAGTGGTGGGAGCAGGAGTGTGTTCCAGTCCTCCTCTACTCTCTGTCTAGAATCTTCTTTGTTCCCACTCTTTTAAGGTCCCAGGGATTTGGGGGGATGGCTGTGCCCCCAACATAGACACAGATATAGCTGATCAGGACTGGTATATGTTGGGGAGGGGAACAGGAGGCAAAAGGAGATTTTTCAGTGTCTTTTACATTCGTTTCTTGCTGATTTCTCCACAGCCACAATCACAGGCTAAAGTCTGACTATGGGAAACCCCAGTGACACGTCCCATGGCCCCTCCCCCACCATTCCACGCACTTTACACTTTGGAAAGCTAGAAAAGGAATTACACCAATCACCACAAATTGCTCAATAACTCTGGAATGTTCTCTTTCAATTCCTGCTTCCTACTCTGTTCTCTTGGCTGTCTCTACCTTAACACCTATTACCACAGCCAAACCAGGCTTTCAAGGTGCTTTCCCTCAATGAAGTCACAGTCCCTATTCATTTTTTACGATGGGGTCAGAAATAGCTAACACGAGATTGCCAGTCTCTATCATTTGATGCGGTATATGGAATTCAGTCTGCCTGCCTGAATGTGTTTGGAGAATTTCTTGAAGTTTCTCTTGCATCCCCTCTTCATGACTATCAACGTTTTAGTAGGGTCGCTATGACAGCACCCCAGCTATCTGTGCCTGCCTCCTTATTCAGTCCCTATTCTGGACACGCAGCTCGCCCGTGACTGTTGCATGCCAAGTGGCTGGAACCAATCAGCTCATCGAGGGCTTCCTTGGAAGCCAATCAGAACCTAGGGAAGTGACCTCACCCCAGGGAGAGCTGTGTGGGCGAGAAAGCATCTCTCAGAGCTGAGTGTCCCTAAGTCACTCCCCTCCTCCCCACCCTCCGTACTTCCTGTAAAGCAATACCGCCTACCCCCCCCTACTCCAAGAAGGGAGTGAGAAAGGCTACCTAAATTCCACAAAGGAAGAACCAAAAGGGAAACTGCAACTCAGCCACCAAAGCAGCTGCTGGAAGTGGAGAATGGGGGTTCCCCTTGCACAGACCTATCTTTCAATGTGGGGTCCCGGGGGGCCCGGAAGAGGGTGTGTGCTGAGGAACAATCAGCACCTCCTCCCTACTCCCTCCCTGCCGCCCCTGGCTTTCTTGATTCTCTCTCACAAAAATAGCTGTAATCTTTCCTTGTAAACAAGGACAAGCTCAAGGTCAAGTGTGGGAAAGAGAGAGCCCGTGTCCTCGTGAACACATGTGAAAAGAGACAATCCGTGTCCCGTGGCCTGAGGACCAGAGGCTCAGAAGCCAACTGGTCTTCAGGACATGGGCTGTTCTTCTCTACTCCTCACTCTGAGCAGCCTCATAGATGAGTTCCTGAATGTTCCCCGGCAGGGCTAGAACGGGAGCACGTGTCTCACCATTGCAGTGGGAGGGAAGGGGTAAAGGACAGGAAGGCTGTAACCCCCAGTGTGTCACACTGGACTCTGAGGGGTAAGGAAAGAACGGCTGAGCTAGGCACTCCCTTTTTTCCTCCAGGCCTCTCCCACCAGGCCTCACCCTGCACAGAGAGGCAGATAAAAACATTTTATTTAAAAATATAAAGCTGGCCTGACTCCTCCAAACTGCACACACCCCCAATTATCTTTCACTGTACAAAAGTGGGTGGGGCTTATGTATAGCTCTCTCGGCTCTAACAGCACCAGTGTTTCTCTGACCCTTCTTTCTTTCTTTCATACAATTAACATTGTATGTTAACATTGGTCCTTGGCCCTTTAAGGGAGCTATCTGTCATCACGGTCCATTCCTATCTCCAGGGCCAAACAGTTTATCTGGGCTCTAAGCAAATGATTTGCCTGCCCACAAAACCAAATAATAGGGACAGTTACTCTCTGTATCTTAAACCAAAAAAGATCCAAAGGTCCAGGGTGCTGCTCAGGGTCCTTTGTCAGTATATAGCCTCATCCATATTGTCATCACTGTCACCCCCAAAGTCCTCTCCGTTGTCAAAATACGACATGATGTAATCAGTTTCCTGAAACAGAACAAAAAGAAATCAAAATCAGGCTTGCTTTTGGCCTTGTCCTTCCTCCCGGTGCGTCAGGCCCCTCCCCTCCCCAGGAAACCATCCCATGCCTGGGAAGTCCCTTTGGCTGCAGTTTGCTCTTGAGAAGAACCTAGGGACACGTGAAGTGGAGGGCATGATCCTCCAGGGCACATCTCCTTCGGCTCTCCAACCCTCTAGAGGGAACGTCCCTGGTGCACGGAGTTGAGACCCCCAGAGCTGATGAGGAAGAGACGGGAACTGAGGCTGGAAGGAGAGCCCTTTCACCTCTTCATGTTCTTCTTCATCATACTCCTCTTCTTCTTCCTCTTCCTTCTCTTCTTCTTCTTCTTTCTCCTCATCTTCCTCTGAAGTCACTTCTTCCTCCTTTTTCTCCAGGGTCTTATGCGGAGATGAATAGAAGGAAAAACTCAGACTCAGTTCAGAAAAGGGAAAGGATGAAGCACACACGGGCCTAAGGACAGGGCACGGGTCTGGGGTCCAGGTGGTCTCTGTGCACATTTCCTCCTTACCTCTAGTTTCTGTATTGTTTCTTCCTTATCTTCTGTGTTCTTAGGGGGCCTCTTGGGAATCAGGATGGTGGTCCCTGGTCCAGGAATCAAAAGGTGAACCCTCAGAGAGCAAACTTCCTTATTAGCCTTCTACCCCACCCTCTCACGGAGATGATGTCACTCTGCTGCCCTCATGTGGCCACCATGGCATCCAGCTACAGTAATGCCTAGAGTGGGTAGGAACTGGGAGGGCAGGCAAGACCACCCACAGCCTCTGGCCCTCCAGCTGATGAAGGAAATCTCTCTTCTGCCTCCTTTTCCCAGACAGACTCACGTTCCTTTTGTAGCTTCCGCACTCGGATCTTTAGCTCCCGGGGTAAACGTCGCCAATCTGGGAACAGCGGGAACGTACAAGTCAGTAAGACCCTGCCTGGGGTCTCCCATGAATAACTGGTTTTAAAGGAGAGGTAAGAGACAGGATAATGGTGAGGAAGGAAGGGGTTGGGTCAAAGTCGCTTAGAACAAAACTGTGGCTTGGATGCCTCTAGGAAAGTAGGGCTATTTAATAGGTTTTCAGGGAGAGTCGGAGAGTGTTTTGGAGCACATCTAGGGCTCCAGTTTGTACATACTGAGTAGAGTGGAGGGAGGAACAGAGAAAGGTGGATGGGTTGGTGGCTTGTGGCATCTCGAGGATTTAAAAAAAGGGCAGTCAATGAAAGGGCCCATCACCTACCAGGGTTCCAATCGATGGCATTGTCAATCGGCCCTGACATCTGATATTTGTCTGAGTAACGCTCCACATCTGAGGGGTCAGAGGCCAAGGGTCAAAGTTTTATCCTTTCAGAGCCCCGGAACAGGGTTGTTCCTGAGGGCCCAGCCCTCTCAATACTCAGGCATTGTCTGTTCCTTTACCCCAAACCCAGAACCCAGGGGGTCAGCTTCCGTGAGGACCGTGAACACTTTGCCACCCCAAATTTTTGTTTTTGTCATCTCCCTTAACCCAAAGGCATGGCCACATTGAGAGGTAGTGTGGTACATTGGAAAGTATACTAAAGAGCAAGAGATCAGGGTTCAAGTCTTCCCTTTACTCTTTGTTAATGGGGCCACCAGGCAAGTCTTTCATCCCTCTGAGCTTCAGCTTCTAAGGCTTCAACTGGAAAGCACTGTTTGTCAATACACTCAAACACTGCACTTCCACACCAGCTGGTAAATATCCACTATCCCAGGCCTCCCAATGACTCCCCTTCTCTGGTTCCTCTTGGTCTCCTTGGCCTCTCCAGAATCTTGCTAACCTTAGGAGGGCTTCTCAGACACCCAGCATCAGCCTCCCTTCTGATTGTTTGGTGCCTGTAATATCCGACCTGTTAACCATGTTGATATATTCCATTTAAACCTATGAAATGAGCACCGTGATGCTTAACCTCTTACTATCTCCAGACTGTTGTGAGACTCAGAACAAACCACGGATACTAGACTGCATTTCAAAGGCGGGGGTAATTGTTATGATCTCCCCAGCTAGACAGTGAGCTTCCTGCGCCTCTCCTGGCCTCTTGGGCCCCCAGTGGTGCCGTGTACAGGGCACTACTCATGAAAGGCGCTCAGAACGTGATGCTCGCATTCCAACTGACCTCTCTTGGGGACAGCCGGCCGGATGAAGTAGGGGAGCTGCCTCATGGCCCCTCGTAGCTCCTGCTTCAGCGCCAGGACATACTCCCCTTCCTCTCCTGAGGGCAGGGGCACTGGGCGGAACTCCAAGGGCTAAGGAAGCGGGGCAGTGGTCAGTCCAGGGGAAAAAAAAAACACTAGAGTACAAACCTAGAAGGGTCTCTCCCCCCAATTCAATCCAATGCTCCCACTGACCAGAGGGCCAAAGAAAAATGGGGGGAGCAATACAGCATTTTGAAAGCTGGGGAGCTGGGAGTGTAAGAAACTACTTTGCCTGGAAAATATCCCATGTGAGTTGGAAGCACAGAGACAGGCAGGGGCAAGATGAGTGTTATGGTGGCCCACGAGGAATCCAGGATCACACACTGTGAGCCAGGGACACACAAGGGGGACAGACACTCACAGGGAAGAGTGGAGAAGGCTGCAGGGTGGGTGGGGGCAGAGCATCCCCCTTCCCAATGCCCACAGCCTCCATGTTGAAGGTCAGCTGGCCCCGGCCACGACCCCGGCCCCCACCCCGACTGGCCATGGTGGAGGGGGCCTGGGTATTCAGTGATCCAGTGAGAAAAACCTGATAAAGACAAAAACAAAAAGCAAAGTATAGTAGAACGATGGGAAGCCAGAGAGGTACAAGGCACTCAATCTTTTCTCCTTAGGACCCAAATAGCCAGTGTAATTCAACAAATTTTGATGGGGAAGGCATTGTACCAGGCAGGGTATTTCTGGAAATACGGACGTGGATGAGACACGGTCCCAACAGGACAGATAACTGCAGCACAGTGTAACTGTAGAACAAAAGGGAAAGTGGGGGTGCCTGAGTGGCTCAGTGGGTTAAGCGTCCGACTTTTGATTTCGGCTCAGGTCATGATCGCAGGGTCATGATCTCAGGGTCGGGAGATGGAGCCCCGGCATTGGCTCCATGCTCAGTGGGGAGTCTGCTTGGATTCTCTTTCTCCCTCTGGCCCCCCTCACTCTCTCTCTCTTTCTCAAATAAATTTAAGACGGGGGGGGGGGGAGTGATTAGACCCTTGGATAAAACTTCCCTCTATCCCCAAGACAATGTGGTATTTGTCACCATCTGCATATCTCCACAGAATCTTTGAATTCTTTCTCTCCCTGACTTTCCACACCCAACCAGGCCCCAGGGCAATCCAACGCAATGACTTTCAGCAAAACATTCACTATGCATCTACTATGGAAAAGGTAGTGTGCCAGGCACTGTGGGGGCACAGGGATAAGTCATTAGTCTCACTGTCAGTGGTGGGAGGTAGGAGTGAGGAGAACCATTACAATCAATTTATTTTCTTTTAAATACAGCTTAGAAGCGTGGAATCTTAGAATTGGAAGGGCTGATAGAATTACCTAGTCTAAATTCCCTCCCAATGCAGTACTCCACTCTGTAAGTTATTAGTCATTTAAATTCCAGTGGCATTTCCTGGAGAGAGGGTGTCTGTCCATTCTCTCCCAAGGCAGCCCATCCCATAGTGATCAACTCTGATGAACTGAGAGTTCCTTCTGCTACTGAACTGAACTTTGCTTCTTGTCATCAATCTCAAGGGGCCAGTCAGAGGCAGATAGGATGGAGGATAAAGTTATCAAATGAAAATGAAACTTGCAAGAAATGATATTCCAGTGACAAAGAGCACAACTAGCACCCAGATCTTGGTTTCTAATACCATTTTCCAACAAAAGGAACCAGGGCTTCTTGGAGAAATGGCTAGTTCTAGGGCTGGGGCAGGAAATATATAATGTGAGCTGGAAGCATCTTCTAGTGCCAGAAAGCAAAGAAGTACTCAAAACAACAACACACACACATGCATTGGTGGGGCTATGTCAAAAGGGCATAAGAGTCAACCGAAAGAGCTCCCAATGGCCAAAGCTGGAAGAATTTGAGCAATAAAATAAAGTAGTATTAGATTATAACTCCATAGTATAAAACAAGTATCCATGAGTCCACACTGATATAAATAAGTGATTAAATAAGTTAATACATGAGGGGGAAGACAAACCTCTCATGTAGAATTCCAAATAAATTATGTAGACTCCACCCTGAAGAGGGGGAGTATAACTTCCCACTCCCTAAGTGTGGGCGATATATAGGGAATTTTGTCTAATTCAACTTAGGAAAGGGGAGAGTAACTCTACAGTGGAGAACCTGGACAAACACTACCTCAGTCTGGTGACCAAGGTCAACATCAACAATATTAAGTCACGTTGCTAGCAAGGGTACGTACCCTAGATAAGATGGGAGGAGGGAGAAAACTAGGCGGACTGGGATATGGCGAAAGGAAGCTTGATGAATCACAAGGTCTCAAGTTTGGCAGAGCTCTCAGAAACCATGTATTCATTCATTCAACAAATAATTATTGAGCATTTACTCTATGCGCCACACTATGCGAGACAACGGGGATTATAGTGAATCCTCTACTTTAGACATGCATCCTTCCTCTGATAAACTGTATTTAGTAAATTGTTATCCAGCTTCTATTTCCACATCTTTAGTAAGAGGACTCCCTATCTCACTTTGCAAGTTATTCCATTTTTGGATATTTGCTCTTCAATTAATATCCAACAAATACTCTAAACAAGAAATATATGGCTCAACAAAATGCCCTAGCTGGTGAAAAAAAAAAGATTTAGAAATATGTATAAGGTCATCTATTTTGTCAGACACACACAGACACATTGTTTTATATGCACATACACATTTATGATGAAAAAAAAGTTGTTCTTGAAGGATACACACCGAAAATTAATGTTGGCTAATTTGAGGTGATGGGATTTGTTGTGGTTTGGGGGGGGGGTTATGTGTATTTTAAAGTTTGTTTTCTATACTGAATAGGTATTGCTTTTTTATTAAGAGAAAAATAATAATTGAAAAATTAAAAATATAGCAACAGAATAGTAGATGAGATTAATAATATGTAGCAGGAAGGAGAGGGTAGAATATGTGTGTCTGAGGAATTTGGAAAGTTTAAGATTCAACAAAAAACGTGAGGAAAAAACGGCTGTTAGTTAACAGATTAAACTGTGATCTGATTGAAAGAACATATTAGGGGAGAAAGGATGTCTCATGGACAAGGGGAGAAGGAGAAAGAATTTGTGAGTATGTCTTCAGGCCCTTTCAAGGGAAAGGACACGCTAACCTACTGGTTTAGGTAGTCCTGACAGACACAGTTCTAGCAGTGGGGACGGGAGCTGGTTTGATCGCAAAGCAGTAAGGAGTCAAGAAAAGGTTGTAAGCTTTGAGGTTAGACAAATCGAACTCCATTTCCAGACACTAACCAAGTAACCCCCAAGGATATGGGGTAAAAGGAAGACAAAATTTTATTTAATTGAGGCAATACACTGGTGGTTGGAAACTATAAACCATCCATTTCTACCCAACTCAGGTCAGGAATCTACAGTGTGTCTCTTCTATTGAGGATTGTGATTGAGTCTAAATTCTTGAGGATATGTAGGGCCTTCCATAATCTGGTCCCAAACTGCTTTTCCTTATCGTCAATCCTCCCTAGAGCTCATCCTTGTACTCTCCTCCCCCCAAACAACATCTCATATACCTGATACTCGCTCTAGTAACTGTATTGTGGTAGAAATTATTAAGAAGCCAGTTTCAACAAAACATACAGAAAAACCATCACATCAAATTTCAGAAAGGCAGTACATGTAGCGGTTAAGAACGTGGATTTGAGGGCGCCTGGGTGGCTCAGTTGGTTAAGCGACTGCCTTCAGCTCAGGTCATGATCCTGGAGTCCTGGGATCGAGTCCCACATCAGGCTCCCTGCTCAGCGGGGAGTCTGCTTCTCCCTCTGACCCTCTTCCCTCTCGTGCTCTCTATCTCTCATTCTCTCTCTCTCAAATAAGTAAATAAAATCTTAAAAAAAAAAAGAACGTGGATTTGAATTCCAGTTCTGTCATTTCCTAGCTACACAACCTTCAGCAATTAATTTAATATCTCTAAACCTGTTTCCTCATCTATAAATGGGAATAATAATAATAATAATAATAAAACCATCTTAATTCATTCAACAAATATTTACTGAGTGCTTGTTATATGCCATGAGAACTCATGGAAATTCAAATGAAAAAAAAATCATACCAATAGAATAACTGTGCAAAGGACATGAATGGGCAATTGACAAAAGAATGATTAGTAAAACCAGTCTTCACTTATCAAATTGACAAAGACTTAAAAAATAATCAGACTGCCAGTTGTTTTTTTTTTTTTTTTGAGATGGGCACTGTCATACCTCATTGGAAGGATTGTGTTTATACACAGTCTGTCAGGGGAGCAATTTGGCCACTTGAATCAACAGCCTCTTAAATCGTCATACCCTTAATCCAATAATCCTACTTTAAAAAAATCTATCCTGAAGAAATAGTCAGATATGTAAGTACAAGGATGGTCATCATAGAGCTATCCATGGTAGCAAAACTTCTGAAACAACCTAAATGGTCCAACGAAGAATGAATGGTCAAAAAAAATCAAATGTCCATTTTTGACCGTTATGTAGAAAGCAAAATGACTTCAAATAATACTTAAAAGCAAAAAAAAAAAAAAAAGTTCACAATATAAAGTGGAGGGAAACATGATATAAAATTGTATTTGTTGTATAGCCTGATTTACATAATATACACATACACATACATACGTATATATGCAGAAAAGAAATTGAAAGGATAAGTGTTAAAGTAATAATAATGGGGGCGCCTGGGTGGCTCAGTCGTTGGGCATCTGCCTTCCGCTCAGGTCGTGATCCCAGGGTCCTGGGATCGGGCCCCACATCGGGCTCCTTGCTCCGCGGGAAGCCTGCTTCTCCCTCTCCCACTCCCCCTGCTTGTGTTCCCTCTCTCACTGTGTCTCTCTCTGTCAAATAAGTAAATAAAATCTTAAAAAAAAAAATAAAGTAATAATAATGGTCATCACTAGATCATGGTCATGAAATAATAAGCATTTTGATTTATACCTTTATGTGTTTCCAAATTTTCTAGAATAACAGGCATTTTGATTTATACCTTTATGTGTTTCCAAATTTTCTAGAATAACAGGCATTTTGACTTGTACCTTTATTGTGTTTCCAAATTTTCTAGAATAAATGTATATTACTTCTTTAATCAGAAGCCAAAACAGATGGTTTTATTTTTTAAGAATGCTACTGGAATTCAAATCCATGTTCCTAACCAGGACAGCTCCCCCTCTTTTACAATGAAAGTGAGGAATGCATTTCGTTGAGCTACATATATTTGTTTAGAATATTTGTTGGATATTAATTGAAGAACAAAGATCCAAAAATGGAATGACCTGCAAAGTGAGATAGGGAGTCCTCTTTAAAATAGAAGCTGGATAACAATTTACTGAATACAGTTTATCAGACGAAGGATGCATGTCTAAAGTAGAGGATTCACTATGATTCCCATTGTCTAGCGTATGTCTGGCATATAGTAGGTGCTCAATAAATATCTGTTGAATGAATGAATGAATACATGATTTCTGAGGGCTCTTCCAAACTTGAGACCTTATGAGTCATCAGGTCTCGCCTTACCATCCCAGTCCTCCTAGCTTTCTCCCCTCTTGACTCTGGGAGCAATTATATTACAAACCACTAATTTAAGAGATCTTAATTAGATATTGTATTGTATTGTATTTTGTCTTTTATTAATTGTTCCCCCAATACGTTAGGAGTTTAAATTCTGCCTTCCCAATCAATTCCATTCAATTAACCTTTATTGGGCACTTCATATTAAGTACAAGAACATGCCTACAAAACCTTATATTCTCAGAAGAACAGAAACATTAGAGAGCGCACTAAGGGCTCTAATGGAGAGGTATGCATAAAATACTATCGTCAGACTGCGGAACGGTTAATTCTGAAAAAAAAAAGAAAGAAAAAGAAAAAGAAGAAAAAGTCCAGGAAAGCTACAGGTAGGAGGTAATATTTCAGCTAAGTCCTGATAGATAACAGGAGTTTGTCAGACTCAGACAAGGGAATAATACGAATAGATTAGGGGGAAGCTGATGCCATAGCAGAGTCAGAGATACAGGAGTGCGCCTTCCTCACTTTGTGCTTTAACGTCTCTCCCCTATGCACGAAAGAAAACTGCAGTTCTCTCGTATATAATCAGTACAGCAATGGGAGCCCTGAAGAGAAAGGGAAAGAAGAGTAGGAAACCAGAGGGGGCTAGATCCAACAGGCTGCCGGAAAGCGTTGTCTATCTATCTCGCAGCTCGGCCCTGGTGAGCTAGTTCGGGAGTTGTGGGACAGAACCAGGTCAGAGCCCCCAGGACGGAGCCTTACCTGCTGCCCCTCCCCGGCGCGGAGCTCACGTCGCAGCCAACTTGAAATTTGCTGGTCTTCCTCTAGCTGCTGGCGCTGTAGGTCCGCCTCTCAGAGCTCCCCATTGGTGAGTTCTCCCGGCCAATCTAGGAGAAGAAGAGGAGGGAGATCCGCCCACTTGAAGCCAAGGAGAGGTAGGGAGGGGGAGAGTCAGCCGGAACCCAGGCTCGGGAAGCCCCGCGCGGCGCGAAGGGAGATGGGGTTGCAAAATCAACCAGGGGTCGGTTATTTCCGACCTTATCTCAGATGGGGGAGCTCCTGGCTAGCGAGAGTCCACAGAGGGAACCTGACACTTAGATCTCACCGAGGGACTCTGTTGAGGAAGCTCCCACAGATAAATGAAAGTGTTGTTCGTTAGGGATGAGTCTTTTTGGGACTTGGGCTTCCCAGCCTGGCCCCTCCATTACTCCAGCCTTCCCTCTAGTCCTACACTGCTTCCCTCCAGCACCACCAATGAATACTTCTTTTCTATTTTCTTCCCCCACCCCCCCGAAGTGTTGCTGCCATGTCTGTGAGATGGGAGGAAAGTTTGAGGAAGGAAGGATTAGGAATCAGAGAACCAGAGTTGGGGAGGCAGGACAGAAGCCCAGTGTTTCCTGCATTTTCTATTGCCTTCCAGCTCCTTCTAGCCCTTGGTGAAGGGGGGCACGGTGGCGAGGGTGAATGGGGGGCAGTGGTGGAGAGGAATCCTACTTTCATACACACACACCCCCCACAAAAACAACCCCAGAAATAGAGGGAAAGAATAATTCAGAGTGGTGATAAAACCTAGGAGTTAGTCAAGAAGACTATCCCACATGTCAGAGAAAATGGCCCTGGGAGTGAAGCCTCTGGACTTGGAAGGCTGCAGGTGTAGTGGCAAGACCCGCAGTCTTTGGAATAGGACAGAAACAGAGCTGTGAGGCTTTGGAGAACTTGCTTAACTTTATTAAGTCTCAGTTTCTTCATCTATATCAAGGAGATTCCTACCTTACAGCATTGTTCTGAGGATTTGAAATAACGTATGTGAAGTACTTAGCATATAGTTGGTGTCCAACAAATGGTAGCTAGTAAAAATGGGTAGGCTCCCTGCAATATTTCTCCCCCTCCTTCTCCAGAAACGTTATTTTTGGTATCTCGTGTCTGGTGGCTTCCAGTCTGAATTATCTCAGGTGAGTTTTCCAAATCCTCGGGATTTTTTCCCCTCATCTTCCCCTTCCCCTCATGCCTTCCAGCTGGACACAAACTCCTTCCTAAAATATGCAGATGGAAGCTATGGTAACCATGGAGACAGGGCAGGTGGCAAGGAGAGGCAGAGACAGGCAGCAGAGAGACCCATTATGATTGCACAGATAGGCAGAGAGAATACTTAGGGAGCGATTGGACAGAGACCTTCAAGCAACATGGAAAAATAATGAGTCTAAGCAAGACTGAGTGTAAAGAGATGCAATGAGAAAGGGATGTGTTACAAGGTTCGCTCTTCTCTCTGCCCCTTTTCTCTCTGCCTCTCCCCCTCCAAGAATATGGGGAGGAAGGCATCTGGGAATGCCACCTGGTGTAGCTAAAAATGACCCAGTATATCCACTCTCCTCATACTTATCTGAGGTCTGTACAAAGGATCTGAGGTTCAAGTTTATCTGTGCTGTGTGTTCCGTTTGGGCGGAGATGGAGTGAGGATGTACCGCTGCGTCTGGCTCCAGCTCTCCCTGACATGTAGACTACAAGGAGGCAGCCAGATCTCTTGCTCTCTCTGCGCAGTATGGACTCCGGCTGTGGATCCCAATCGCCTCTCTCCACCCCTCTGCACAGTGTGCCATGTGCTGTGTGTGGCAGGTCAGATCTGGCGCACAGAGGCGCATAAACACATCTAGCGCGGAGAACGGGGCTCTGCTCAACGAAGAATTGGGATGGTCCCAGTCTGGGTCGCGGAGGAGTCTCCTAAGAAACATTTAGGTTTGTTGGGGCTGAGGGGAGGTCGGCTAAGCAAGAGAAGTCAGGATTGGAGCCTCTAGGTTTTGAGGCTTTATGTGTGCATGGGTGGGGGAACGGTTTGGTGCCCGACGCCCCCATCCGCAGAGACTAGGCTATAAATAGCAAGGCAGAGCTCCGCCCCCCCGCCCCCCCCCCCCACAGCTTCTCTCCTCCGGAGCCGGCGCCTTGCCCGGGGCGCACCGGGAGGAGGGACCAGGATCCGGTGCCCGGGCGCAGATACTGACACCAAGGGAATCCGGGTGCCCCTCCCCACGCCATGTGGGCCCCCGGGAACCCAGCTCCGCCACCTAGGCTGCCCCATGGCCCTGGCCTCAGTCCTGGCCCGGCGGAGATCCTGCGGACATTCAGGTATCTATTTGGGCGCACAGCCCGGGAGGGAAAGAGCAAGGAGTGATGGGGAACATAGCAGGGGCAAAAGAAACCCCCAATTCTCCCCCCACCCGTTTTAGGTCCCAAATGCAAGCTGCTTCCCTCCCCCCACTCAATATTTGGGGCTGTGGCAACCTAAAAGAGGTTAGGAATGGGAATTATGTGTGTGAATGTATGGGTGCATGTGTGTGGGTGGGTGGCGTTCAGCATCCTAGAAAGGGGTATTCCAAGTGCGGAAAAGAAAAGGGGGATGCTGGAAAGGTCTGATAAGCCGTGGGGTGAGGGTGGGGGTGCGGTATTCCTGCGCGTGCACGTACGCATTTGCACGCGCGCTCGTCCTTCAATGCGGGTGCACCCTTCCCACCTCCTCAGGCATGCGCTGGGGGGAGGGGGCGGCTCAAAGGCATGAGTTAGAGGAAGGACTGTGTGCCGTGCAGTGCCATGCCGTGGAGATCTCCCCACGCCGTCTCCCTCCACCGGTGCCTCAGTTTCCCTGCCTGAATCCGTCAATAAGATCTCTCTCTTTCTCGCAGGGATTGGCTTCGCCACTGAGCCCTCAGGCCTCCGCCAGCCACCACCCCCACGCCCCTAGACATCCTCGGCGGGCCCCAGTCCCGGCTCCATTGGTGCTCTCGCCCCTGCCGCAGCTATGCTGCACACCGAGGGCCACGCTCTTCTTCGGGCCGTGGGTCAGGGTAAGCTACGCTTGGCCCGTTTGCTTCTGGAGGGAGGCGCCTACGTGAATGAGGGTGATGCCCAGGGGGAGACTGCGCTAATGGCGGCCTGTCGGGCCCGTTACGACGACCCCCAGAACAAGGCGCGCATGGTACGCTACCTCCTGGAGCAAGGCGCGGACCCTAACATCGCAGACCGCCTGGGGCGCACCGCGCTGATGCACGCCTGCGCCGGGGGTGGGGGCGCCGCCGTGGCCTCGCTCCTACTTGCTCACGGTGCAGACCCCTCAGTGCGCGATCACGCGGGCGCCTCGGCGCTTGTCCACGCCCTGGACCGTGGGGACCGCGAGACCCTTGCCACGCTGCTGGACGCCTGTAAGGCCAAGGGCACGGAGGTCATCATCATCACCACCGACACCTCGCCCTCGGGAACCAAGAAGACTCGGCAGTATCTCAATTCCCCACCGTCCCCGGGGGTGGAGGACCCTGCTCCCGCTCCTCCCAGCCCCGGGGTCTGCACGTCGCCCTCGGAAATCCAACTGCAGGCTGCAGGAGGAGGAGGAGGACGGGGATCGCTATCCCCTCGCGCTCAGGAAGAAGAGGAGAAGCGGGACGTATTCGAATTTCCTCTTCCTAAGCCCCCTGATGACCCCTCCCCTTCTGAGCCGCTCCCCAAACCACCCCGTCACCCTCCAAAACCACTCAAAAGGCTCAACTCCGAGCCCTGGGGCCTAGTGGCTCCTCCTCAACCGGTCCCACCCGCGGAAGGGAGGCCGGGGATCGAGCGCCTGACCGCGGAATTCAACGGCCTGACTCTGACCGGTCGACCCCGTCTTTCCAGACGTCACAGCACTGAAGGTCCGGAGGATCCGCCCCCGTGGGCGGAGAAAGTGACGGGCGGGGGTCCTCTCTCTCGCCGAAACACTGCGCCAGAAGCTCAGGAGTCTGGTCCCCCTTCAGGTCTGAGGCAGAAACTGAGCCGCATGGAGTCGGTGGAGCTCGATACCCCCGGAAATATTTGCCCCGACTCGCCGGAGTGCAGCCGCTTGTCCCTGGAGCGCCGGCGATACAGCGCCTCCCCGCTGACCCTCCCTCCAGCCGGCTCGGCTCCCTCCCCGCGCCAGTCCCAGGAGAGTCTGCCAGGGGCTGTATCTCCGCTGAGCGGACGGAGGCGGAGTCCCGGGCTGCTGGAGCGGAGGGGCTCGGGGACGTTGCTCCTGGACCACATCGCGCAAACGCGGCCGGGTTTCCTGCCTCCACTCAACGTCAGCCCCCACCCTCCCATCCCCGACATTCGCCCCCAACCCGGAGGTCGGGCGCCTTCGCTGCCCGCCCCTCCGCAGGCGGGCGCGCCAGGCTCTCCCAGGACCAAGCGCAAGTTGGTGAGGCGCCACTCCATGCAGACTGAGCAGATCCGCCTGCTAGGGGGCTTCCAGAGTCTAGGCGGGCCAGGGGAGCCAGGGCGCTGAGAGGAGTGAGAGGAACCAAGGAGGGTGGGGATCAGGACCTTGATGGGACAGGTGGGAGAGCCAGCTCACACACACACCACGGACATCGGGGTCTTTTGCCGGTGCTCCTGGGCACGGTGCACGCACACATGGGTAAAAAAGTGTCCACAAGCACAGTACTCTTATTCGCAGGGAAGGGTAAGTACTCTCTCTACTGGGCATATAGACACGTGCATTCATGTCCTGGTCACTTCACATGCATATGGGAATACTTGTGTACCCATCCATAGGAATGGCACACACAGGGCCACTTGTGCTAGGGCCCCAAGTGGGTCCCAAAGTCACTTGCATTTGTTCAGAAGCCGTAGGGAACCCCTACTTATGGATAGTCTCCAATCTCTTTGCCCTTTTGCAGAAGCAATCCCCTGCTTTCCATGTATGCCCTGCAACACAGCCCGTTCACGACTTTGCACACTCTGCCCTCTTCCTGGATATCCCAACCCGTTGTGTAGGTCTTGCTTCTCTCTCCAGGCCTGGCTCCTTGTTCACACCCTGCTCCCAGCCCTAACCACTTTTCAGGATATCTTCTGCACCCTCCTTGGGGTTTTCCTGCAGCAACCCTCAGCTTCAGTTCTGCTGCTGCCCTTCCTGCTCTCAGCTTTACTTCTCAACTTCCTGCTTTTTATTCCCACCTTGTTCCCCCAACCAATACAGGAGGTTGTCTCATTTTCCCAGGGAGTGGGTCATGGGCTCTATGCTGCTCTTCTGTCTGTCTGAGCTTATGAACACCCCCCACAGGTAGAAGTGGGGAGTAACCCTAAATCACTCCTCTCTCCACTTGACAAATCAAATAAATGTGTTCAGAAGTCTCTGTTTTGTCACTTCTGCCTGAGGGTGTGGGGTACGTGGAATGAGGAATGGGGAGGGAGGACGATGCTCACTATAGCTCTAATGATCTAGGGGATACTTAGAGGTTCCAGCCACCTCCTTTGCAGGAGACCAACTGACCAGCTGTGGTTGCAGAAGAAAAGACAAGTGTCCTGTGTCCTGAAGGTTTTAAGGCATTTGACAGGCTTTCATTCGCTCAGTCTCCCCTATGTCCATCCTCAAATTCTTTAACTTAAGATTTCTACAAAAGTACCTCCTACAAAAATTACCTCCGTCCACTATCAACAAATATATCTCAGTAGATTGACTGCCCCTCTTTCAAGCTTCTTATTTTGTGACCATTCCCAGTTATTCCTTGGGGTCCTAATTTTCATCTCACCAGGTGCATTTCATCCATTTTTTTCTACTTTTTTAAAAAAGTTTTTATTTATGTAATCTCTGCACACAAAGTGGGGCTCGAACTCACAACCCCGAGATCACGAATAACATGCTTTTCTGAGTGAGCCAGCCAGCTGCCCCCATTTTTTTCTACTTCTGACTTTTATTTCCCCATCCTGAGCCACGGCACAGTGGGGAAAGAGAGAGAGAGAGAGAGAGAGAAAAGTAGTATAACCTCACCTAGGTAAGAATGGCATGATGGTCAACTGACAAAGGATGTGTCGTGTGTATCTGTGTGCATATGTGTGTGTAAGAGTAATCGGAGGAACCCAGCCTGACAAGTTATGAACAGGATAACTGTCTTAATCTTCCCCCTAGACTTCTCAGTTTTCTGGTTTCTGCATATATTCTAGTACTTTCTCACTCTAACGGGAGGTAAGGGAGCAGCCCATTCCACTCTTTCTCACGGTTTCCCCCAACTTAGAATAGGTAAAATCAGAAAATTACCTAACGATGCACGGTATAACGAAAAGATCAAAATATTGGGAATCAGAAGGCCTATGTCTGAATCCCTCTTTGCCATCTCCTAGCTTTAATTTTGGGCAATTTATCCAGCCTCTCTGAGTGGCCATTTCCTTATCTGTAAAATAATAAAATCTAGTTAGTCATTGTGATTATTAAATAAGACAATGCACTGAAGTACATTGCGCAGTGTCTGACATATACTAAGTGTATGCTCATGAAATGTATTCTTTCCTGGTTTTAGCTCCACCGCGCATTGCATGTGATCTTGGACAAGTCACATAACTTACCTGTTTCCTCATCTACATCTATAAAATGAAGTCGTCGGACAAATGATCCCTAAGAATCCTCTTACAACTGTCCACAATTCTCCTCAGCCTGGCATCCAGGCCTTCCCCCCGCCGTTCCTCCCGCTCCCCCCTCCACACACATACAAGCTTCGTTCCAGGAGTCTGCCTTGCTTTCCAGTACTCCCCACAGGACTCCCAAAGACGCGCCCAAGCTAAGCTTCTCCCTTATAAAGAATATCGCTTTTTCTCTTTGCAATTGGTTGTCCAGAACCTCCGCCCTCCTCAGTATTTTGCCTATGGCGGAGCTGGACCCCTCCAGCTCCCGCCCAGTCTCTGGTGATTGGCATAGGACCTGGCTCGTCCCCGCCCCCGCTTGACTGACGGCTGCGCTCCAGCACCGCCTCAGTCCCTGGGCGCTCGCTGGCGGGGCTGGCTGGGACCGTTAGCTCGCCAGGCTGGCAGGCTCCGGGCCGCTACTCCACTGGCGGCCGGGATGGAGACGATGCGAGCACAGCGGCTGCAGCCTGGAGTGGGCACCAGCGGGAGGGGTACGCTGCGAGCGCTTCGGCCGGGAGTGACTGGGGCCGCCGCTGCCGCCGCCACACCCCCAGCAGGCCCCCCGCCCGCACCGCCGCCCCCCGCACCGCCCCCGCCGCCCCTGCTCCTGTCGGGGGCCCCTGGGCTGCCGCTGCCCCCGGGCGCCGCCGGCAGCCCCGCGGTGCTGCGGGAGGCCGTGGAGGCCGTGGTGAGGAGCTTCGCCAAGCACACGCAGGGCTATGGCCGAGGTGAGTCTGCGGGTCTGGCCTCCTGCGGGACACCCGCTGTAAAGGAGCCTTGCTCCCATAGTCCTCTGGATCGCTTTTCCTGGCGCAGAGCCCTCACATGCATTTCCTTTCGGGGAGGTTCCTTCTGGGCTACACACACACACACACACGCACACACACACGCACGCACATAGGCGCGCACACACACAGAGGCACACGCTCTTACACACGTCTCACCCCTTCCCCTTTATTGAGTTACTACTATATTCTCCAGGGACCCCTTTTTACGAATACAACCATCTTTTCTTCCCAGCCGATTCTCCTTCAGAAATGGAATTCTTCCTGTAGCTTTAACATCCTTTTGCCTTTGAGGACCAGTCCCCATTGTGTAGGATCCTATCCTTTATGTCAGATCCAAGACATTTCTCATTTCATACCCGCTCAGATCTTTCTTCTGTGATCTCGGCAATTCCTGGGCTCCCCTATTAACTTACTCCACCTCCTTAATCTTTTTTTTTTTTTTAAGGTTTTTATTTTTTTAAGTAATCTCTACCCCTAATGTGGGGCTCAAATTTACAACCCAGGGATCAAGACTCGCATGCTCCACCAACTGAGCCAGTCAGGTGCCCCTCCACCTCCTTAATCTTGACTTTTGAATTCTTTTCTTACTTATCCTCACCCTGAAATTTCCAGTGCAACTTCAGATTTGCTGGGGAATTAGGTAGTGCCTTCACAAGTCACTTATAATTGTGTTTTTAAATCTGGAACCGTACCACTGAGTCCACACCACCTTCCTGTGACTTAGTACCTCACTTTGGTGTCTTTTTTAGTATGGAGCCTCACAACTCTGGCCTCTCTGTCTGTCTGGCTCTGTTTTCCTGGCCCTTGCCCAGGAACCGAGGATAAATCCCAGGCCTTGGCTCTCTCAATGTTAAATTCTGTGGAAATGAGCCAGGCAGAAACCCTATTTCCATTAGAAATCTTTATCTTACAGATGCCTAATTTCTAGGGTTTCTGAGAAGGGGAATGTGAGGATCTTCTTTGTTGTTTTTGTTTAATCAGTGCAGAATTTCCTGAGTTTGAGCTCCAGATTTATAGTGTAACAAGGAACACAATATAGTGAGGGGTGTGGGATACAGAATGTAGGTCTGGAATTTCTGAGACATCACTTCTTTCTGCTTCGTTAAGTCCTGCCTGAGCTGGAAGTGATTATATCTCTAACCTTCTAGTTGGACAATAATAAAGAGAAAGGTTGTAGGGCTTTCTCTATGGACAGTAGCGACTTTTTTCCCTCCCTGTGAAAGTGTATTGAAAAGAGCATATGTGGGTTTTGGAGTCAGACAAGCGTGGATTAAATCCCAGATTAAATCTCTGTCACTTGCCAGCTATGTTTTCGGGGAAGTGACTTAACTTCACTACACTTCAATTTCCTCGAGGGTTATGAGGGGGATTAAATGAGATATTACACCTGACATGTAATGGGTGACTTAAAAATGATGAGAATTATCTCAGATTTATTGGTTCATATTTCCTTGGAAAGAACATGTCTCATTTTCTCCTGTTCTTAGATCCAGACAGTATAAACCCAAATATTCCTATGAAAACAGATTTTTTAGCTCCATTTGTTAGATGTGCCCAGTGATACGTGTACCATTAGTTTCCTTTTGTTCTTCAACATTTTGAACTCCTACCATGGGGCTGGCACTCTGCTAGGTGCTTGGAATGCAAATGCACGTGATTCTGAAATTCACCATGAGGGAATATAGTTGTTTGTCTAGTCTAATTCCTAGATTTAACAGGGCTTCGTGATGTAACTGTTATCAGCTATTGTCCTGCTGCTTCCAGTCTTTTTAAGTTGAGACCAAGGGAAGGTCTCTGGGCATAGGAGTCGTCACCCTCAATCTGAACCGTTCCTCTTAGAAACTTACAGGCGTTTATTAGAATTGTAGAGGAGTGTACCATTTTTCTTGTCTGTGTTACCTAGGGCTTGGCCTCTAAACTGAGTGTCCTGTAAAAACTTTTTCATTTCCTTAGACAGGATGAAGGAGCAAGGGGATTTTACTGACAAAGAGCAATCAGTCAGGCTTCAGACTCTGCAGCCGTTCCTTCCTCCAACTTCCCAACCTCCCACCACACTCCTCATTATTCCTGAGTTTCTCATTTCCAGTCTGGGTGTCCAGCCAGTACTTTGGGAGAGTTTGGCAGGTAGTTCAGCTTCAGGCAAGCAGAATCTCTGCCGATTTGGCTCAGAAGTCCTTCACCACATGGAATCGCTTATTCTGCTTCGATTAATAGGCAAAACTGCCACTGGCATGTACCCATGTACCCTTGTGACTGATGGCATGGTGTTTGGGGGCTGGCTCTATTCCCGTGAACATAATTTACTTTGATCTTTGCCCAGACCTTTATCCGATCCAGCAATGCTTTACTGTATCATCTTCAGTTCACATCCTTCACGTTCTGACTGCTCCAAATTCACCTTTTCCACCTTTAGATTTACCTGTACCCTTGTAGGACCTCAGCATTTATTTAAAAAACACTAAAATAAATTTTTTCTGTTATTTCACCTGTTTGTCCTATATCTCCCCCACCCCCACCCCAACCCCAACCCCCACCCCCACCCAAGATACACACATAGCTCAGTATGCTGTAGGATCTTAGTCAGCTTGTAGTACATAGGGTTTGGAATCAGAGAACCTCACCCTGTCAAACAATGGCTGTGTGATCTTGGATAAATTGCTTAATCTCTCTAGACCTCATCTACTTCATTCATTCGACAAATATTTATTGATCACCAGATGCAGTGGTGAACAAGACAGATACTCAGTCCCTATCTTCATGGAGCTCACAGTCCACAAGTATGTGTGAGGATTAATGGTGCAATAAGGCAGGATAGGGCAATAGAAAGAGGGTCAGCTTTGAGGCAAACAAACATTGGTTCTAAATCCTGGCTCTGCCACCATGGCCTGTTTCTTAACTTGTTCACTTTTTTTTTTTTTTGAAAGATTTTATTGTTAAGTAATCTCTACACCCAACATCGGGCTCAAACTCACAATCCCGAGATCAAGAGTTACATGCCCTGCTGACTGAGCCGGCCAGGTGCCCTAACTTGTTCACTTTTTAGAAAAATGGGTATTATAATACTTACCTTGATAGTTTTGTGTGGATTGAATGAGATAATAAGTGTAAGCCATATAGCACATAGTTAGGACTCAATGAATGGTTGCTATTATTATGCATTTGGAAACCTTTTGAAAACTGCAGATGATAGGTATTGGTAGCATTTCCATTTCCTTTGCCCCTTTTTAAACATGGCATGTAGTCCCCTTCTAATGTTTGATAGCTGGCAATCTCTAAAACTGGCATGACTGACTGAGTGACCTTGCCCTGTAACTTCTGCATTGCCCTCTTCAAACGTATAGTTTCGGAATTATTGTTCTCCCTTTATATCACAGTATGGTTACATGATTGGAAGTTCTGCCCAGCTACTCCCCTAGGTTGAACAAAGGAATCTTGGGTAGTATTTTCTGTTTAGTTGTTTGGAATCACAGACAGCTTCTTTGTCTACAAGTGACTGTGGAGTTAAATTGATAGTCTGAATATTTCCAGTTTTGGGGATGTTGGATTAGACTCTGTATTGGTTTCCTGTAGCTGCTCTAACAAATTATTGGAAATTTGGGGGCTCACCACAACAGAAATTTATTCTTTCACAGTTCTGGAGGCCAGAAGTCCAAAATCAGTATCACTGGGGGGCCAAAATCAAGGGGTCAGCAGGTCTGTGCTCCCTCCAGAAGCTCCAGGGGAGAATCTGTGTTCTTGCCTCTTCCATCTTCTGGGGGCTGCCAGCATTCCTTGGCTTGTGACTGCATCACTCTGATCTCTGCCTCCGTGTTCACACTGTCCTCTCCTCTTCTGCGCTTCATAATTCTCCTTCCCTAAGGACCCTATGATTGCATTTAGGGCCCTGCCCAGATAATCCAGGATAATCACCCCACCTCAAGATCCTTAATCACATCTGCAAAGTTTTTGCCACCTAAGGAAACATTCACAGGTTTTAAGGATTAGGGCATGGACATCTTAGCAGGGGGCATTTTTCAGCCTTCCATAGTCCTCGCCCAAAGTCACTGTCGTCTTGTGGTCCCTCCCTTCCAATGAGTCTATGCACTGGGTCATTCAGGGGTACATTCTCCAAGTTGAAATAGGAAATGTCAGATGGAAAATTGTTAACCAGCTTCCCTGTCTTCATAATAGTGTGCATTAAGCTGGGCCAGCCTATTCTCGCCATCTTGTGTGATCAGGGAGAACCTTCTCATTCACCTCTCAATTGCATTAGCTATTATCCATGCTCCCTCACCACAAAATTGTATTTATTTTTATGACATAAATTTTTTAGTGTAATTTCATGTGTTTTTTTTTTTTAAAAACGTATTTATTTATTTGAGAGAGGGAGAGCTTGTGCATGTAGGGGGAGTGGGGCAGAGGGAGAGAGAATCTCAAGCAGACTCCCTGCTGAGTGCAGGGCCCTACATAGGGATGCGGGGCTGGATCCCAGGACCCTGAGATCATGACCTGAGCTGAAATCAAGAGCTGACTGCCTAACAGACTGAGCCACCCAGGTGCCCCTCATGTGTTGTGTTAATGATTTTACTGTATGGTAGATATATAATCTGTACCTCTCATCCCACTTAGACATTCATATTTTATCTCCTAAGGACCAAAACCAGAATTTTTCTCTTTTGTTATTGTTCAACATCATGGTATAAGCACTTAAATATTCCTCACTATCTTGGTCTTTCTTGTCTCTTTTAGCCCAGCATCCTCCAGTTACTCCTAAAAAGCAACTGTGGCTGTTAGATGTGTATGTCTTGGTCATTGCTAACCTTCCCACCTCACAGTTCTCTGACCATCCTCATTTATACCATTAGGTGCATGGTTCCTCACTGAAAATCTGATAAAACCTATGGGCAGCCCCCCCATAAACTCTACACACACACACACACACACACACACACACACACACGATTTCATTGTGGGTTTTAGGCGGCTTGTGAACTCTCACGAAGCTCAATCATGGATCTGATCTTGGACCCTGGGTTAAGATTCCCAAACTGGAAAGAACATTGGCATCAGGATGTCTACATTCAGTCCCTAGCTCTGCCCCAGCATGTGACCTCGAGCAGGTCATTTCTCCTTTTGTAGCCTGAGTTGGACTAGATGATCTCCAAAATCCCTGTCAGCTCTAAAGGTCAATGAGTCTGTGAGCAGTTTCAAATTCGGATCACAATTAATTGCTTTTCTCCTGATCATTCTGCTCGATTTCCCATTTCATCCATTTCTGAAACAAGACTCCCTATTTCTTTTGGCTTTGAGTAATCATTAAAAAATAGTCCTGTACTGTGTGCCAAGAGGGATTTAACTGGATATAGACTGGACATATGCTTTTTAATAGGACCTTCCTGGTTACAATGGTTTCCTCCCCTTTCTCTTTATTTCAATATTCTCCCTGTTGTTTGCATGTCAAGAAAGCTGTCACCCAGCTCATTGTGCTAAATTGTCTCAAAGAGGGAACTGGGGCTGAAAAGATCTCAGTGGAAAGAACAAAGATGGCTAAGCTCTCTGGGCAGCAGTGACCTTTGAAGGGCCCCTGCCAAAACTAAGAGTGGGAAGGACAGAGTTTCCTTTTCATGCTGCCTTTTAATGGAAGAATGAACATTGTAAAAAGTCAGTTAGATCCAGGGTGTTAGGAAAGAGCATGTGCGGCTTTCACACTCTGGCTGGTACATGGAGTGCTTGCTTCAGCTGCAGAGCGGAAGAGATAACAGTTGTTGCTGGCCACTAGATTTTGAATGCCTTGCTGACCAGCATTGTGTATTATTCATCTTTGAATCTCTAATGCTCAGAATAGAGCTATGTACACATTACGGGCTCACGTTTCTGCTTAATGTGTGTGTGGCAGCCATGAAAATGTGCTATTCATATCTCCTGCTGCAGGGGCATAACTGACTGACAGCCTGAAGCTGCTGTCCCCTCTGTGTCCATCACCACATGTGCACTGAGGCCACACGTCCAGCAGGCTCCCCGCCCCCCCCCCATCAGTGATGGGGCCTGGCAGGGGCACTAACTCACACACATCCTGGTGAGGTGTGGATTTCCTTTGGCTTGTGGACTTCCCACTGGCCTGGCTGAACCTTTCTTGGAACTGTGCTGCTGACTGAGATTCTCGTATCCAGACCTCCTTCCTTCCCATGCCCCTTCTACAGGTGTCAGACCTTCAACATGGCCCGAAGCCTCTCCCTTCTCATACTTCCTCCGCAATAAATCTCTTGCTTGTCTATCCTGTCTTGGGGTCTTCTCTTTGGCAGACCTAAACTAACACACTATAAAAGAATGAATGAGTCCTTGTAACCAAGAGTAGAGAGTGGCCATGTTGGAGGATATTGGAGAATGCATGTGATCATGTATTATTATGAGGCTTTTGTTAAAGCCACTTGAAATGTTTGGAACCCTGCAGTCAAAGTGATCCTTTCCAAAGGAAAACTGATTTCATCCCAAACCCTTCAATGGCTAAGATAAAGCCAGTACTCTGCTGTGGCCTGCAAGATCCACTTTGGTCTGGTCCCTACTAACTTTTGCAATCTCACTTGCATACACTTTCCCTCTCTCTTTTCTTCGAGCCACACTGGTCCCTTTATTTGCTACAGAGCCTTTGTGTATGTTGTTCCTTATGTTCAGAGCTCTGTTCTCTCACCTTTTTGCCTGGTGAATTCATACTCATATCTGTACTTAAATATCACTTTGTCAGTGTAGCTTTCTTTGGCCTTCTTAATGAGGTCGGATGCCCCCATGACATTTCCCATCATCTACCAAACTCCCTTATAGTTCTTATCACAGTTGCAGTTTTTCATTTGCTTGAGGTTCTCTGGTTAATCTCTCTCTCCCTCTTTAGACTGTAAACTGCATGAGGAAATGGAACAGGGTATGGTTTTGCTCACTATTGTAGCCTAGCATCCAGCACATAGTCTAGCACAGAGTAGGTACCCAATACATATTTGTGCAATGATTGAGCCCAAGTATTGGGGGAAGAGGGGACTGTTCTGGAATACAGTGTTTTGAGTCTGGTTTTGAGTTCTGAGTTTGATTTTCCCCTAAAACATTAGCTGGTTACTGTTTGACAGATGGTGGCAGAAGTCTAGAGACTCCTGGGTCAGAGACAAAGGACTTTATTACTCACAGTACAGCAGGGAGCATAAGCATCAGATTTGTTTGCATCAGTGATCCTTGCCTCCCACATCTGATGTGAAGGGCTCAGGTGCATGCTTGCATCGGACACGGGTTGCATTACAGAAGAGGAACGAACACTGAGCTTGGGGAACCTGCCATTTCTTAGCAAGCAGTAAGCAGGCTTGTTCTTTGTCCCCGAGGGAGACGGTACCTCATCCCTCAGGTTTCTTGCTGCACACACAATCCCGAGAAATGGCCCAAGGAAAGAGCAGCCATCTCCTTCAAATCTTGGCATACCCAGCAAGATGGAAAGGCGCACAAGAGACCTGTGAAGGAGTGTCTCCCAATATACAGTTCCTCCAAAAATTACTTTTACCTAGGGAAATCCTCAGAAGAGAAATTCATGCTCACACACACACACACACACACACAGAGGAGTATAGTGTGTGTGTATATATATATATATATATACATATATATATATATACACATAATGTATAATACTCCAGGATGGAAAAGGAATCTGGCTATGGGTTTGCTCACCAGAAGCATAGACTTGAGAATGGCTAAAAGGGCCACATTTCCTTGAGTGGCAGTATTACACAAAGCTTAGGAACATTGACTCTGGGACCAAGATAGCCTGGGTTTGAATTCTTACTTTGCTACTTTCTAGCTGTTACATCCTTGGGCAAGTTATTTAACTTCCCTATGTCTCATTTCACTCATCTGTAAAATGGGGGCACAGAAGTGTTCAGTAGATGCACTTCTTATTGTGCTGGGGATTATTATTCTCGGCCACCTGACCAACTGTGGAATGATCTACTTGCACTTCATCAGGCAGGGATAATGGTCTGCTGACCTGGAAGCTCTGCCTCCAATATTTAAGTTATTCTGCTTTGGTGTTTAGGACTAATCAAAATGTGAACCAGAGAGGTGGGGGAGGAGGCCAGGCATACACTGGTCTTGCCATGCAAATGCCGTAATCACAGTCTAGGTTTATTAATTTAAATGTTTTTAAGTGGTGATAAGGAGCTAAGGTGGGTTAGACTCTTGATGTAGGTTCAGGTCGCAGATACCGTCTTGAAGCACAGGACCACTCACTGCTGAACTTAACTGCTTCCCTTTTTGTAGTGAATGTGGTGGAGGCACTTCAGGAATTCTGGCAGATGAAGCAGTCCCGTGGGGCGGACTTGAAGAACGGGGCTCTGGTGGTTTATGAGATGGTTTCCTCCAACAGCCCTCCTTACGTCTGCTATGTCACTCTGCCTGGGGGAAGCTGCTTTGGGAGTTTCCAGGTAAGAGGTGCAAGGGGGCAGTAGCGGAGATAAATGCTTAGCTGCTAGTAGTGGTTTTCTCCATCATTTTGGCCATTAAATCACTCTCTGAAATCCCATATTTGAGGACCTGAACCAATTCTGGGCACATCATTCTGGTAAGCATCTGAGGTTCATTGAACCACAAAAGAACCTCAGTAGCTTCTCTTTCAGCCTGCAAAAACCGACATCCGCTTTGAATTGGAGCGGTTATGAATAGGCCCTTTCTCGGTATATCAGACTACCAGCACCTAGCCCATGTTCTAATCTGGCTGTCCAACTTCCTGCCATCTCTTTTTGAGAACACTGAATAGTCATTCCTTACCCACAGTACTTTTTCATAGGCAATTATTAAAAAAAGCAATGTTTGAGTTCTTTAAGAGGTCAAAGGGGAGGGCCTAGGTATGGTGGAAATAGTACTCATCTAAGAGTTTAGAAGACCCAAATTCTTATTCCCCTCACTGCCAGCAGGGCAAGTCAGGTAAGTTCTCTGGGCCTCAGTTTCCCCATCTATAACATGAAGGAGATAGGTTAGATTATTTCTAAAATCTTCCTAGTGCTAGCTTTCTATAATTATATGAAAAAACTGTGATATATGATGATGAACAGTGGTTGCTATTATAGGGTAATAAGAAATTTGACTAGCAGTCTTTGTTGGCTTCCACCATGACATACCGTGGCCAGGGTCAAAAAGTGCAGAGGGTGATGGTGCAGCCCATCATCCTCATCTCCAGATGCTTGCAAAATAGATCTCGGATTCAGGTGTGGCTTCATAAGCAAGTGAACATGCGTATAGAGGGCTGTATCATTGGTTTTGATGAGTACATGAACCTCGTATTAGATGATGCCAAAAAGATTCATTCTAAAACAAAGTCAAGAAAACAACTGGGTCAGATCACATTAAAAGGATATAATATTACCCTGCTCCAAAGTGTCTCCAAACTACAAATGATCAATGAAGTGAGAAATTCTAGAGAAGGCCATGTAGTTTGCTTTTTTTAGAGGTCCTTTGTTGGGAGTGTAGTTCTAAAACATTTGGTTGTATTATTTTGATTACCTTTAGGTTATTACCAGAGGACAATAAATGCTGTGGGATTTTTATTTAAAAAAAAAAAAGAGTGCTCGCTTCGGCAGCACATGTATTACAATTGGAACGATACAGAGAAGATTGGCATGGCCCTTGCGCAAGGATGACATGCAAATTTGTGAAGCACTCCGTATTTTTGTTTTGTTTTTTAAAGATTTTATTTATTTGACAGAGAGAGACACAGCGAGAGAGGGAACACAAGCAGGGGGAGTGGGAGAGGGAGAAGCAGGCTTCCTGCGGAGCAGGGAGCCCAACGCGGGGCTCCATCCCAGGACCCTGGGATCATGACCTGAGCCGAAGGCAGGTGCTTAACAACTGAGCCACCCAGGCGCCTCACATTCCATATTTTTGAATCGTTGAACACTACCTCAAAAACTAATGATGTACTATATGCTGGCTAACTGAACATAAAAAAAAGAAAAGTTTGACTAGTGTGAATATTGTCATCAAAGATGGATTTTTTTACGTCACCCATAGGAAGGTAGCCTTCTGAAATGTCAACTTAGAGTCTGAATAGGAATTTAGAGGAGATAATAGACATTTTGTTGTGTTTTTATGGTTTGTATAACCCTTAGACAGTTATAACCCCTGCTATGTGCTTCCAGAGCTCCTTGAACTTCCCTTATCATACCACTTATCACAACATATCATGATTGATTATCTCACCTAGTGGATTATGCTTCATGGAGGCAGATAGTATCTGTCTTCTTTCTCGTTCAGTTTTAAATCCTTACTACCAACTCAGCACCCAGCAAAGAGGAGGCACTTAATAAATCTGTGGCATGAATGAGGACCATTGTTGTTCAGTTCCTGTCTCAAACAGAAAAGTCCTAAGGAGACTTCATTTCAAATATGGTGACTAAGTTTTTTCCCCTCAGAACCCCAGCCATTTCAGAGAAATAAATATATGCTCAGGATGACTAATGTTTATACTTTCTCTTCTAGAGAATTAGGTCTCTCCTCCCTTCTCTCATCTCATCTTATTGTTGAATGAAGATTTGATAATTTTACGGTGATGTCCAGAACTGAGCGATCATAGTAATTTGATTTGTTTTCCCCCCAAAGAATAGAATTATCTATCTTGGCTTCTTTTAGCTTATATCTTTTATATCCATTTTGGCAGGTGAAATTTCTCCTGGTGGTTTTTCTCATGGATGACTTTTCAGGAATACTACTATACTGTAGAGTGAGCAGCAGACTAGTGAGTAGAGACAGGCTAGTGAACAGAGAAATTGAAGAAGATGACTTAGGGTTAATGCACCAAGCACCATATTCTGACAGACCTGTCAGCTAAAGGAAATCAGGAGTTATTGATACTAAGGGTGGTTAATTAGCAAACATATCCCAGTCTACTTTTAAAAACTGTAACATTACTTTCTTCCTTTCCTCTTATCCTAATCATAAATGACAGAGGGCACAGAGGCCTTTGAGGCCGCCAGTGATGATGAATTATAAAGGAATGCTCTGGTGCTTGGGGATTTAAGGTTGAGTGATTTACACTTCTGAAAATCAGAAGTCCAATATGATACCCACATTGGATACAATGTAAAAAACATGAATTAACTTTTAAATTTTTCTTGCTTTCTTCAGGTCAGCTTTCCTTCCCCTTGCCACCCCTCTCCTTACTTCCACTGGGGAAAAAAAAGACTATAAATTCCTCCTTCAGATCTTGGACTCTGTTCAGGAAGAGCTCATTGACTCACTGCATTATTGGGGGGAAATGCCTGCTCGAAGCTAAAAGCGAAGTCCAGGAATCCCAGATGGGTGCTTCTGGTAGAGACTAGAGGTCTCCTCTGCAGAAGCAACCTAGTCACAGATTTGTTCTACTCTTAGGTTATCTAGAGGGATGAAAACAAATCTTGCCTATGCACAGAACAGGAGAACAAGATACAGATTTCAAACAGGCTGGGCAGAATCTGGCTTTTGAGTAATTAATTCTGTCGACAGTTTAAACAGGGGTATTTTTTATATCCAGTGATTATATGCTGACTTCAGCAGCCTTCCTCATTCTGCATTCAATTTGGTATGAGCTATCGCCGTCTCCAGTTCCTTAATGACTTCAGGATGTTGAATCAAAATTATGTTTCCAAATGCCTCAACCATTTTACAATACAAACTTTGGAGGGTTTGCTGAACGAACTGATTTATCCGAAGACTGTCCAAGTGTCTTCTATCCCAGTGTTTCCTCTGTCCCGTTTCTTCCTCTCCCTCAGACACACGTATGTCCATGTTTTCTCTCTCTCTGCCCTGCCTAGTTTTGCCCCACAAAAGCTGAGGCCCGGCGGAGCGCTGCAAAGATTGCACTCATGAACTCTGTGTTTAATGAACATCCTTCCCGAAGAATCACTGATGAGTTCATTGAGAAGAGTGTCTCTGAGGCTCTGGCATCTTTCAATGTAAGTTACTGGGAGTTGAAAGAAAGGAGAGCGGGGGTTGGGAGAACTGGCTGGTTGGGACGTCTTGTAAATCACTGGGAAACAGAGCAGGAATTCTTGTTTTCTTTCCTGTCTGTACCTCTTTCTGTTTATTCTCTATCACTCTTGTGTATTACATGCTCCCTAGTCTCAGTCACTGATTCTATGTGTATGTTTATGTTTTTGTTGATCTTTTGCTTCTTTCATTGTGTCTCTTTGGTATCTAGAAACCTTTAATTCAAGATTTATGGAATGTTAGAGATATTCCAAAATTAAAACTGAGCTTGAATTCTACTTTTCCAGTTTTGGTTTAAGAACTTACTCCCTTCTTCCTTCAGTGTTTGTTTGTTTATAAAAACCTCCACGCCAAGCATGGAGGCCAGTGTGGGCTTGAACTCATGACCCTGAGATCAAGACTTGAGCTGAGGTCCAGAGTTGGACACTTAACTGACTGAGCCACCCAGCCGCCCCTTTTTTGTTGTTATTCTTTTTTCTTATATATGACTGTTCTTATTGTCACTTGTCTCCCTACTTCATCTATTAATAAAGGACACTTTATAATACAGTGTCTTATTTCCTTTTTCCCCTCCTAGGAATGGGGTAGATAATTTATTTACTCTCCTTAAAAAGAATGTCTATTCTTTCAAATGATGATGATGATGATAACCATAGCTAATCCTAACTGAGTATTTACTTCATGCCAGGGATGATTCCGGGGGATTTTTATGTATTTTATCTCATTTGATCATCACAGTAATGCTCTGAGGTATAAGAACTATTTTTTACCCCTATTTTACAGATGAGGAAACTAAAAACATGGAAGTGCAATTTTGCCTGAAGGGATGTAGCTAGGAAGTGATAGAGCCAAGACTGGAACCCAGTTGAACTTAGAATTTTCTATCTCAGGAGCACATCTTAGAAATGAATGCTGCCTTTCTTCCTTCCCACAAGTTCACTGATAGGCTGATAAAGTCAGACAAATTCTGTTTCTGTTCTCTTTGAATTTAAGATGTAATTACATAAACTAAACCACTTTGGTTATCTGTTTGTGTATTTATCAGTGTTGAGCACTTTAAATCATAAGTTGGCTTCCCTCTGTTACCCAGGACCCATCTGATTTTCTCCCATTTCTCTTTGCCCCAGTCAGCAGTATCTACAGGGAATAAAGACAATTTTTATATTAATCAAAGTCAGTTAAAATGAAGAAAGTACATTTATCACTCTTAAGTCATCTAATGTATTATAAAATGAACATTAGTTTGGATTATAGAAAGCAATGGTTCATCGTTTTGAAATTATGTTTCTACTAGCTACGTGACTTTGAGCAAGTTACCTAATCTAAGTCTCAATTTCCTCATCTGTAACAATTATACCTATCACATAGGATTATTGGATAGAAGAGAATATTTTCAAGCACTTAGCGTATGTTATCTGTTTAAATGCCTTTGGATGCAAGTAATAGAAAAATCTCACTTCAAACTGTCTTAAGGGAATAAATCAAGAAAGGAAATTTATTCTCTAACATGACAGGAAGTTCAGAAGTAAAGATTTCAGGGCTGGTTGGTTCCATGGATCAAGAATGTCATCTTTTACTGGCCCAAATTCTTTCCATCTCTCCACTCAGCCGTCCTCTAGATATTGGCTTTGTCCTTGGGCTGGCTCCCCTTAGTGTGTAAGACAGCTACAGAATTTCAGACATTAAATACAGATATAACTACAGTTAGAGACAGAAAGAGACCATTTTTCTTTCTCTCCTCTTTCTTCCTTCCTTTCTCTCTCCCTCTTTCCTTTATTTTCTTTCTTTCTCTATTTTCTTTCTTTCTTTCTTTCTCTTTCTTCTTTTCTTTTCTTTCTTTCTTTAAGTAGGCTCCACACCCAACCCAGTGAGGGGCTTGAACTCAGGACACTGAGATCAAGAGTCACATGCTCTACCGACTGAGCCAGCCAGGTGCCCTGAGACTGTCTTTTAGTATCTCTTTAGTAGTAAGGAATCTTTTTCCAGAAACCCTCCAGCAGACCTCCCTCCTACCTCCCAATGGCCAGAATTCTTACCTTAAAACCAATTACAAGCAAAAGGAATTAGGATTTACCCAGTGGAATTAGAGGATAAAATCACTCTTCCCTGGGGGAGACACATGGAAGATGGGTAGGTACTGGAACAAGATTAAGATTCTATAGTAACAAAGAAGGAAATAGATGTTGGGTAGGTCACCAGCAATGTCTACTACAAAGCGTTTAGGAAATACAAATTAGTATTATTCCTGCCATTATTTCTATTTGATTAGTCCCTCAAAATTGAGAATTTAATAGATTTCTCATTAATTTCCCAATGGAATTGTCATACTCCAAATAACATCAATTTGGTATTAGCTATGAGTAATGTTTACATTTCTGCCTTCAGCTTTTATTCTTTAATAGTCCTGACTTGAGGTGCACCTGGGTGGCTCAGTCATTGAACGTCTGCCTTCGGGTCCTGGGATCAAGCCCCACATCGGGCTCCCTGATCCACGGGAAGCCTGCTTCTCCCTCTCCCACTCCCCCTGCTTGTGTTCCCTCTCTCGCTGTGTCTGTCAAATAAATAAAAAATCTTTAAAAAAATTAATTGTCATGGGGCGCCTGAGTGGCTCAGTTGGTTAAGCGACTGCCTTCAGCTCAGGTCATGATCCCAGAGTCCTGGGATCGAGCCCCACATCAGGCTCCTGGCTCAGTGGGGAGACTGCTTCTCCCTCTCTCTCTGACTGCTGCTCTGCCTACTTGTGCTCTGTCAAATTAATAAATAAAAATCTAAAAAAAATTAAAAAAAATTAATTGTCCTGACTTGGGAGACTGTATTGTACTATGTCTTTTGACCAATCACCCAGCCTCTGTAGCTCTGAATTTCTTCATTTGTAAAATGAATAGGTTGAATTAAATTAACTCTAATTTCTTTGCAATTACATTCTAATGTTCCTACCACTTATCAAGTATTCTGTGGTTAAATGTTTATTGAATAAATGGAGTTCGTTTATAGCCGTGTTAGATGTAGAAGTGTAATAGGAGGTAGATCTTCCCAACTTGTGGGTCATGCCACTTTGGTGTACTCCGAATAGGTTTCAGTTGTGCCATAATATTGATCCCCTCAGCTTTCAAGGGACTGAGCAAGGCCCAGGGCAGATGGACTCCTCTGCCAGCAGCCTCTTCTGTATACCCCAGTTGGTTGTACAGAGATGATCATTACTTTCTATGTACTGTATCATAGAAAACTCTGGAGGTACTGAATAAGGTATCATATTGAATGATTATAGGCAAAAATGAAAAGGTTACTTGCTTGAGGGCCCTAAATGCTAATAGTGAAGATTACGTTTGTCCTTCCTCCCTCTAGCTTTTCATTTCTAAATCCAAATAATTTTGTGATCTTTGCTTCGCCATGAAGATTAACCACATGTTGGCATGTTGTTTCTCATGAGCCACAAAACAGCATGGGTTGATCTTGTGTAGTTCTGACTTCTTGTCAATTCTAGCACAGCAAAAACAAATAATAAGCTAGCACTTATGGTATACTTACTGAGTGCATTGAATTATTTTAGGTGTAATACATATACAGTAAAGCCCCATGAAAAGTGCCCCATAATGAACTGAATTTGGATTTGGATATAACTTGATTGGCTCCTGACCTCTACCCAGTCCCCTTTCTTAAAAAGAGCAGAATCTTAGGTGTAGGGCAGGAATGGTCATGTAGAACAAGCTACAAAGAACAGGCAACTTCTCAGGAAGCAGGAGGAGAAAGTTGGGTACCTGTATTCCCAGTAGTCTCCTGGCTTTATTTTCTTAGTTCAGGTTGACAAAAAGGTCACCAATAAACCAGGAGATGTCCTTATTTTGGAAGTCCCAGCCAGCTCCAGGGTTTGGAATTATCTCCAATAATGTTAAACCACCACCAAATAGCACTAAACCAGAGCCAGTACCAGAATGGATTTGGATTGTGTAACTGGATACCTAGTCTAATGTAATAATGTACCACATTTTATATAATTGGAGTTTTTAGACCACACTTATCCCTTTTTAAATAATTTTTTTATTTTTTAAAAGATTTTATTTACTTGAGAGACAGCACAAACAAGGGAGAGGGGCAGAAGGAGAGGGAGAAGCAGACTCCCCACTGAGCAGGGAGCCCGACGTGGGGCTCAATCCCAGGACCCCGAGACCATGACCTGAGCTGAAGGCAGACCCTTAACCAACTGAGCCACCCAGGCACCTCAATAATCTTTTCATTTAATTCTCAAAACAATCTTAGAAGCTACATCTGTGATTATTCCCATTTTACAGATAAGGAAACAGAGGCACAGAGAAATTAAATGACTTCACTAAGGCTTCAAGACTAGTAGGAGATCCAGTCCCTGCTTTTAACTTCTATACGGTATTGCCTTTTTCACAGGACAATGTATCTTAGTTCTACCCTTACAGGGTCATGTCACCAGTAAGACACACAAGGCAAATGTCCAAGAGGCCAAACTGCTATCCAGAATTTACCATGCTGATGGCTCCTACTGTTTCCCTTTAAAGTGCATTTGCCCAGTTATCCTTTAGGCTAGTCCAATCCTGTATGCTGAGATCACTCTGTTTTTTGGGCTGAATCAGGGATCTTCTGTATGTCCAGTGTTCCCTCTTTGTAAGATAGGAAAAACCAGATTGACCTCTGTCACCTGAGTTAATATGTGTGATGACTCTGGAGTCCTCTAGGTCCGTGCTGACCAGCAGAATAGCCACCAGTCACATGTAGCTATTTAGCACCTGATATGTGGCTAGCATGAATTAAGATGTCCTGTAAGCATGAAAGAGACATCAGATTTTGAAACCTTAGTATAAGAAAAATAATGTAAAATATTTCATTAAAAATTTTTATGCTCGGAGTGCCTGGGTGGCTCAGTCGTTAAGCATCTGCCTTTCGCTCAGGTCATGATCCCAGGGTCCTGGGATCAAGCCCCACATTGGGCTCCCTGCTTCGCAGGAAGCCTGCTTCTCCCTCTCCCACTCCCCCTGCTCGTGTTCCCTCTCTCGCTGTGTCTCTCTCTGTCAAATAAATAAAATCTTTAAAATTATGCTAATTATAGTTAAGATAATATTTTGAATATATTAGCTTAAATAAAACATGCTATTAAAATTAGTTTTACCTGCTTAATGTGGCAACTAGGAAATTTTATTTTTTTATTTTTATTTTTTAAGATTTATTTATTTAAAGAGAGAGCTCACAAGTGCTTGCTGGGGTGGGGGGGTGGTAGGGGGGCAGAGGGAGAGGGAGAGAGAAACCTAGGCACACTCTGTGCTGAGTGCAGAGTCCTATGCGGATGGATCCCACAACCCTGAGATCACGACGGAGCCTAAACCGAGAGTCAGACATTCAACCGACTGCCACCTAGGCGCCCCTAGGAAATTTTAAATTAGGTTGGGGGCTCGCATTATATTTCTACTGGACAGTGCTGCTTGAGGTGATAATCCTGATTGAAAATCTATTTGTCTTTTCCTTTCCTCTGTTACAGGGCAACAGGGAGGAAGCTGACAACCCAAATACAGGGATTGGTGCCTTCCGATTCATGTTGGAATCCAACAAGGGCAAGTCAATGTTGGAGTTCCAGGTACTGTTCCACCTACTTCTCTGGCTCTGATAACTTGGATCAACCTGTGGGGATATATATAGATACATATCTCCTACTAATCCCTAAGTCACTGATACTCAGTTGGAAGGGAAGGGAGAGAAGGTTAGAATATTTTTCAAAATATAAATACCTTCCTTTCCCAAAGGGCATTATCAGAGATGGTAGGAGATGCTTCCATAAATGCCTTTTGTAAGAGGTTCCCCATGTAATTCTGATGCAACCTCCTAATATAAAAATACTATCCTGACACTTCCTAACTTCTTTCCCCAGGAACTAATGACAGTTTTTCAACTGCTGCATTGGAATGGCAGCCTTAAGGCCATGAGGGAAAGACAGTGCTCTCGGCAGGTAAGAGGTCCTATGGGTAGATGAGAGGAATCCGGCAGAAGGACTATTTTGAGGTGGCTGTTCTGTTAGAAATAAGCAGGCCTATAGTTACCAGGTTGTGAATACTGAAAGCCTCACTTTAAGTGCCCTTTTCATTCCTATCATCTTTCTTATTTAGATCTTAGCTGTCATTCTTTTGCCTGCCTTGCTTCCCCCACCAGGAAGTTTCCCTTAAGACACTTCGAGGACTTAAGTACTAACTTCAGTTAGGACTCCAAGGCTGAGTTCCTAGCCCTGCTGGGTCAGTGTGGTATGAGCCCTGACCTTGTCAGTGATCTTCATATTTCTTTCCCCTTCCAGGAAGTGTTGGCTCATTATTCACACCGGGCCCTGGATGATGATATTCGCCACCAAATGGCATTGGACTGGGTGAGCCGGGAGCAGAGTGTGCCAGGGGCACTGTCTAGAGAGCTGGCCTCTACTGAACGGGAGCTGGACGAAGCCCGGCTGGCAGGCAAGGAGCTGCGCTTCCACAAGGAGAAGAAAGATATTCTCCTGCTGGCTGCTGGGCAGTTGGGCAATATGCATTCTTCCAACTGCTAGGCATCCACTCACATACTCCATCTTCTCTAGACCCTTTTTTATGTCTTTTCTAAGACTTAGTTGATTTCTGTACATACTTTCTCAATTTTATACTTTAAAATATAGATATATATATATGTATATGTATAAATTCTACACTCAGATTCCTATTTGCTGAGAGATCCCTTTTCTTCTGGTTTTTGGATGTCGTTTCATTTGAAACATCGCCACTCCATTTTGTAAGAGGCTGTCTTCAGAGCTTACACTCCCAGTAACTCTGTGTACTCATTTCAATAGCACAAGATGACAGACAAAGTGTTCTTTAATGTAACAGGGAGCTTGAATAAGGACTATGTACCCCACCCTCACCCTCATTCCTGCTTTCTCTTGGATTCCAAACAGGGTATAAGTATGAAGCCTTTGGCTTTGGCTTATCTTGAGCTGAGCCTACTTGGTAGAGTTGTTTCTCCAGTAACTATATATTTCCTAGCCTAGACGCCCCCGCCCCACTATCTTACTCCTCTTCTGCCTTCAAGTGGTACTTCATTTTGAGGCTTCCTTTATTATTTGGAAGGAAGTGGAGATCTGGTATCTTATTGTTAAAATCATTCCTGAGAAACTTCCCAGAGAGAGGAGAGGAATTATAGACACAACCCATAGGTGTTTATCACCTAAATTGCCTCTGGGGCATAGAAACCATACTAAGCTGATAATCTAGCTTTCCCGAGGTATTCTATGCTCCAGAAGGGGTCAGGGTTGAAGCTGCTTATCTTCAAATACTCCTTTTTCTCTCTTCCTCCCCTGCTCACCCAGCTTAGTTGAGTCCAGTATTTAGACCTTCCTGCCCGCAGAGATTTGTAGAAGGGAAAACATTTCCCTATTCCCTCTCCTCCCATCATTTTGCTCTTTGGAAACAGCTGTCCTGTTTGGCGAGGGCCATGTTCCTCTCTCTCCCTCGAAGTTGCTGCTGTTTGCTACCTTAGATGTCCATAGATTCAGTTGTTTTCTCTCTTTTCTTTCTTCTTCCTCCATGTTCATTATTAGAGCATGAGTCGATCAGGAAAATGAGCCTGGCATTATGGCACTTCCTAATTGGAACCTTGGGAGACTGCAGGAGGGCAAAGAGACTCGATGATTAACTATTTGTGTTTTTAAGACTCCCTCTCCCCACCCCACCCTGCCTCTCCTGGGAGAAATAGAGAAATGATCTGGAGTACAGCGAAAGCATTCCTCTTTGGGAGAATGTTTTGTAGGTCTCTCGAGGATATATTTTCCCCCTTTGTTTTTGTAATCTCCTATACTGTATATAGTATATAGTGTTCAGGGCGCTTTCTAAAATGTGCTTGGGAAGTTTCATGCTTCTGCAATCGGACTTTCCATTTAATGATGATACACTTTGTTTTTAGAAATAGTTTAGGAAGTAGGCCACAATTTGCTCTTTTGGACCAGATAGGGTTAAGATGATAGCTTCTTTGCCTTTGAAATCATCTTGGTGGTCAGTACAAATGGGATCCGCGGTAAGGAGTCTAGCAACTGTTTCAGTGCTTGAAAGGGACCTCCTTGAATTCTCCAAGCCCCATCTCTGTATACCATGAAGCACATATAGGGTTGGAGTAGAGGCTCCTACATTAAATAATAGGTATGTCTGTTCAGCTTTTATTCATATTTATAATCCAGAAATCATAAACCCTCATTTGTCCTATGCTCTTTTCCCTCGGAAGTGTGAAGGGGTGTGAGTTATGGGAAGAATTTCTTCTTGCCCCTCCTGGAATGACTATTTTTCTCAAATAACAACCAGTAAGATCCCAAAGAACTTGAGAAAAATTGTTCCCTGATCTGTCCATTTTCATTGTTAAAGAATTTACTTATCTTTTTAGTACTTTCTATGTATTTTATATGTATAATTTTATACAATTAAAAATAGATTTTTGTCTAGTGAGCCACATTGACTCTTTCTTGAGACCTATGTATCAGAGGAGCTCTAAAACGACCCTTTCTTTTACAAGTACACTAAAAGAGAATTTTGATTATTTTTTGGGTGGTAGAAATAAGATTGTACTGCTGGGGGAAAGTATTCTGCCTCCCCTTCTCTAGACATTTGAGGAGTCTGGATTTTGTCACTGATCCTATCTTCTCAAGCTCTACCCATTTCCACTGGCAATCTCACCCACCATGGTGACTTCAACTCTATCATACACACCATTCTCAAATCTATTTCTTTCACCCTTTTGAGCTTTTGCATCTATATTTCCACATATTGGACATCACTACCTGAATTTATGGCACAAGCTCTTTGAATTCACATATTCAAAATAAAAGCTATTTCCATACATGCTCCTCTTTGACTCTCCAAATCTGTTATTAGGATTATTATCTACCCATCTATCTAAGCTAGAATCTTAGGTCCATCCTTGACTTTTCCTTACCATTATCTAATCAGTCATTGTTGAGGTTACCTCTTATATAAACTTAAAAAAAAAAAAGATTTATTTATTTGAAAGAGAGAGAATGCAAGCAAGGAGAGGGGCAAAGGGAGAGAGAATCCTCAAGCAGACACCTTGCCAAATGCAGAGCCTGACCCAGGGCTCGATCCCAGGACCCTGAGATCATGACCTGAACCAGACACTGAACCGGCTGAACCACCCAGGCGCCCCTCCTATATAAACTTCTTAATCTATCTTGTCCATATACACTGCCTTAGTTCAGTCATTTATCATTTCTGGGCTGGAGCACTGCAACAGCTTCCTACCTAGACTCTGTCTTCATTCTTAACATCCTCCACACTATTGTCAGATTTCTTTCTAAAATACTTACTACTGTACCACTATCTTGCTTAAACCATCACTTAGCTATCTTCGTCTTTAGCAGCATTCCCCAAAGTTTTATATGTGAACCCTTGGTATTACCTGAGACAATTTTAGGTGGTAGATGGGCAAACATTTTTAATTTTAAAAAAATTTTTTAAAGATTTTATTTGAGAGAGACAGAGAGAGCATTAGTAGGGGGAAAGGGCAGAGGGAGAGGGAGAAGCAGACTCCCTGCACCGATGCAGGACTCGATCCTAGGACCCTGGGATCAGGACCTGGGCCAAAGGCAGATGCTTAACTGACTGAGCCACCCAGACACTCACATTTTTCATTTTTACTTATAGTCTACTTATAGTCTTCAGTATAAATTTGTTTAATTAATTGTCAGAAAAAAAATACAGATTTTACATTTATGCCAGTGATATTTAAATTCAGTATAAATTTGTTTAATTAACAAGTCAGTCTACTTAAGGAAAAATACTAATCAAGGAACATCATGGGGGCTATCTGTGATTGTGAGAGAAAAAAAAACATTCATCAAGTTCCATTTCCTAGTTCCATTTTCTGAAACTGTCAGAAAAAAAATAGATTTTACATTTATGCCAGTGATATTTAAATTCAGTATAAATTTGTTTAATTAACAAGTCAGTCTACTTAAGGAAAAATACTAATCAAGGAACATCATGGGGGCTATCTGTGATTGTGAAAAATCATGAATACCCAAACACTTGAAGTCGAGAAATTATTGCCTACAGGATAAAATTCCAAAATCCTTAGCATGGCATACATTTTGGCCCCAACCTGTGTACTTTCAGCTTTATTTCCTAGCCGCACAGCATCAGGCAAACAGAATTTCTTGCCATTCTGGTTATTTGTTCCTTCAATAAGTAGGTATCAAATGTCTACTGTGAGCCAGACACTGATCTAAACTGTAAGGCTGGGGCGCCTGGGTGGCTCAGTCGTTAAGCGTCTACCTTTGGCTCAGGTCATGATCCCAGGGTCCTGGGTTTGAGCCCTGCATCGGGCTCCCTAGTGGGAGCCTGCTTCTTCCTCTCCCACTCCCTCTGCTTGTGTTCTCTCTCTCGCTGTGTCTCTGTCAAATAAATAAAATCTTTAAAAAAATAAAATAAACTGTAAGGCTATCGTTGTAAATAAAAGTCTCTGCCATAAGGATTACACTCTAATGGGAAACCGACAATAAACAAGATAGAAAGTAAACAAGGTAACTGGGCTGGCATTTAAGCTCTGTGAAGGAAATAAACAGAGTGAGGGACGGTAAAGTAGAGAAGAATCCTTCGATTCCGGCAGTATTTTTGGGAGACCTAAAGGATGAGGTTGAATGAGCCATGTGAAGAGCTGGAGTAAGAACATCAGAAACAGGAAGTTCCAAAAGTCCTGAGAGGAAAGAGACAACCATAGTTGAGGGAAAGTGTAGGGAGAGCTTAATGAGACTTTGGTGATGGAAGTCGTTGGAAACAGGCAGAGCAGGGGATGTTTGAATTTTATTCCAAGTGCAAGAATAAGGAAGGGTTTTTGGTAGGGATAAGGCCAGCTGATTTTTTCAAAGATCACACTACCTACTGTGGAGAATGGATTAGTGTCTCCTAGTCTCAGTACAACTGCTTTGCCTGGAAAACTATCCAGTCTTAAAGGCCTAGTTCAAATGGAAGCCTTCTTATTCCCAGTCCTATTATAAACTTCCTTTGTACTGCCATAACAACTTTGTGATAGCAATCATCACTCTCATAATATAATTATATAAAGTGATTGCTGATAATGTAATTATTTTTCCTTTTATTGCCAGCACCTTCTCTAGTATTAGATACACATATTATAACTGTTTGATTAAAAAAATTAATAAATAAGTGGATGTGCAGTCCACTATTGTTGAAGGCCTACATCAGGATTCCAGAATTTGGGGGCAATATGGGTTTTGCGACCTAGGCAAAAAACTCCTAGGTTTTTAAAACATGAAATACCTGCACCGTTCCCAAAGAGCTAAAGTCCCTATTTTGTTTAAAGCCATGATTTTTTTTTTTTTTTTTTAATTCTCGGAGGTGGTGGCAAGAGTTTGAGAGTTTATCTTAAATAAATAAGCAGCTGACACCCGTCTCACCAATCCTAGTTCACTGACAGCCAGGTCTGTTAGTTTTCTTGAGAGACAAATTCGGTGCTGCAGTACGAACCGGAAGCAGCTTTTTGAGCCAGCACTGCTGACTGAACTATTTTAAAAATGTTTCCATCACGGATCCAGCTACTCCTCCGAACAGGGTACGGGTCTAGAAGTTTTGAGAGAAAAAAAACATTCATCAAGTTCCATTTCCTAGTATGGAGTCCAAGGAGACGGAAAACAATCCTCTAATAAAGAAATTAGGCAGTGATTCTCTGGCAGTAGTATTTTTCCTCGGCTGCCCTAATTAATAGGAAGCCGTTGTCTGCACCTACCCGCTAGCGGTCCCTTAGAGATCTACTCCATTCAGCTCACCAACTGCTCAAGATGGCTACAGGAACACTTCCGGCATCTTCCCGAACTAGGCCCGCCTTCATTTGCGTATTTTCACCGCGCCGGGGGCGGGACTTAGACTTAGCTTTTGATTGGTCAATTTAACTAGCGACTTTTCCCCTCCGCGACAGTTTCCCGAGGTGCCTAGTGCCTGAGCGGCACGGACGAGAGTAAGAAGGAAGGCAAGATGGCGGACGTGCTGGATCTTCACGAGGCTGGGGGCGAGGATTTCGCCATGGATGAGGATGGGGACGGTGAGGACAGTGGAGGCGGCTGCGGGAAGCGGGGAAGGTGCGAGAGAAGGGACTAATAGGAAGATAATTTCCTTTCCCGGCAGGGAGGATGGGATTCGGGGAATCGGGTTTCAGTTGGATTAGAGACAGCGCCCCCTTGAGGAGGAATGCGGGTGGGACCGGGAAGGGAATGGGACTGGAGGTGGTGGGGCAGCTTTCAGATAATGTGTCCGTAAAGAGACTATTGTTACAAATACTTGTTATTTTTGTTACTCATTCTTTCACTTCTGGGGCTCCAGAGAGCATCCACAAACTGAAAGAAAAGGCGAAAAAACGGAAGGGCCGCGGCTTTGGCTCCGGTGAGTGTTTGTGGGGAAAATGGGTCTAGAATGGCGACATTCTGTGAGTTTGGGAGTCCCCATTCAGACTCATGGGGAACAGTGGGAGAATGGATTTCTGGTGATCTCTTGTATGTTCCATATAGAAGAAGGGTCTCGAGCACGGATGCGTGAGGATTATGACAGCGTGGAACAGGATGGTGATGAACCTGGACCGCAACGCTGTAAGTAAAATGTAGCCTGTAGGGATCTGTTTGTAGGGAATTATGGACCAATGAAATAAAACCCAGTAGGAATGGGGTCGGAGATACCTTAACCAGTCTCTGGAATCCCCATTTACTCCACTCTTGTGATCTTGCTTGAAGTTTTTCTCTTGTGCTCAAACCTCCCTCCCTCCCCAACAGCTGTTGAAGGCTGGATTCTCTTTGTCACTGGAGTCCACGAGGAAGCCACTGAAGAAGACATCCATGACAAATTTGCAGAGTACGGGGAAATAAAAAACATCCACCTCAACCTGGACAGGCGTACAGGATACCTGAAGGTATCCTAAGCGACACCCTATTGCCTCTCTTCCCCCATAATCTTTAGACAGCTTTGATAGTTCTCCCATGTTTGTTGTGATTGGCCAAGAGCAAAGTTAAAATAAAATGAGATTGGAAATTGATTTTGTCAGACATAGCAAAGAGATGGAAACAGATTTTGTATGTACAATAAGGATACATGATGTACGTTTGTTGTTTAAAGTTTATAGATTTTTGTATTTGAGTATGAGTTTAGATTTGAGGGAGAGGATACTTAGGTGGTGTTTGGTGGAATATGAGAGTTTTGATCTCTGTCTTTTCACTTGTCCCAGGGGTATACTCTAGTTGAGTATGAAACATACAAGGAGGCCCAGGCTGCTATGGAGGGACTCAATGGCCAGGATTTGATGGGACAGCCGATCAGTGTGGACTGGTGTTTTGTTCGGGGTCCACCCAAGGGCAAGAGGAGGTAAAGTGGAGAGGGCAAACTATCTTGGTGAAGGGAACATGAGCAAAACAGAATAAGGATGTTGTATTATGTTCCTCTGATGGGCCCTTCCTTTACCCTAGAGGTGGCCGAAGACGCAGCAGGAGTCCAGACCGGAGGCGGCGCTGAGAGGTCCTCTGTTGTCCAGATGTTCTCTCCAGAGATTCTACTTGGCCATGCAGCCTTGGAGAAATAGGGCAGGGGTAGAACTCACTGTGTTTATATTTAATCTCTCACCCGACTTGCTTAGTGGGTTGGTTTTTGTTTTTGCGTTAGGAATAAATGTCCCATTTTTGTTTTGTACATTTAAAATTACTTTCTTCTTCTAACATTGCCAGCTCGGAAGCACTATTTACAGTAAGGCAGTTTGGGTCACTGTGAAGATACTTCTTGGGCCTCAATTCTGTTTGAATTTCTACATTAGATATAGTCTCAAGTTTCAGCTAGGGTCAAAGTAGAGACACTGCTCAGTACTTCTTTTTCTTGGAAGCCAAGAGAGCCTGGGTAGAAGTGAGGTGTTCTTGTGATATTAAAGCATAATTAATTTGTTCTTGTATACTCTTCCGTGCAAATGGATGTTACAGGAATGTCTCTCTTGTTTCTCCTGTCCTTCCTGCTGCCATGTTTGTTTGTACTTGCAGCTGTCTAAGGGCTTGAGTCTCCTGTCAGGGCATTCTCTCAGAACCTTTTGCCCTGGAAGAGTCTATACTAAGTTCTTGGTGCCTTCTTCGGCAGTCAAGGGTGAAGGCTCCATAGAGGAGAGGATCCAGAGGAGCATTGAGGAGGCCAAAAAGGAAAAGGATGTGGCTGAGGCTGGGGGGAACTTCAGTTAGCATGGTGGGAGAGAACCAGTACCGCAGGCCCAGCAGGTAATAAGGTGTCCAGCAGAGGACAAAGGTCAGCAAGACAAGGCCAACCCAGGGCCCGCAGGCAAACACGGGAGCGATTGTCTAAGGAGCAACGGAGGGCAAATTCACTGGCAGGGGCTGGGAATTTAGAAAACACTCAAATTCAGAACCACTCAGCTTCTGAATTGAGTGTAGGACGAACAGGCAGGATGGTGAGCTGGAGTTTTCCTGATACAAGAAGAGAATGTGGCAAATAGGAGTCAATGTTGCACATCCTCTTCCCTTCCCAGACTGGGACTGTATGCTCCCCCCTCTCCCCTAGGGAGTATGACAGACATGCTGGAGGAAAGGTTTTGATTGAGGTGTGGTATTATGAAGCTGCTAAGACTACTTGAAGACTTGATGGTGTCCAGGACTAAAGGAGAACACTGATCACCTTTCTCCTTAATCTTGCCCGGCTAACTCAACAATGGAGGGTGGCTAGAGGCTGGTTACAATCGGAGGCATTTAGAAAATACTTGTAGCATCAGGTGCTAGAGGGATGGTTATGATGTCACTTTTGGTTTGATAGAAAACTATTAGATCAGTAAATGAGGCTAGAGGCAGTAGTTTTTAGGGTATGGGTTAGGGCCCGGGGATTGGAGTCTTAGCATGGTTCCCCTTCCTTGTCCGGGGACTAGACACCCTGAGGACAATGTGGCTATAGCAGACGGTCATGGCAGTCAGTGGCAGCAGAAAGAGGCAGCAGAAGGTGAAGAGGTTATAGGTGATCTCTTGCCATCGAGCCTTGAAGCTGCCTTTGGTGACACACTGAGTGAAGGGGACTGGGCCAGCTTGGCGGACGGTGTGGAACAGGAACAGCTGGAGTGGAGTTTGAGGACTATAAGAACTGGTCCCCCTTCACCCTTTTCCCCTGTCACACTACCCCAGTTCATCCTTAATTCTCTGCAAAGCTGGGTAGTGCTGAGTTCATCCATAGTGCCATATTTAAAAGGTTCAGAACTTGAGAATCCCTGTTTTCCCCTTAGGCTACGGAGCTAATCATTAAGTTTGTTAAATCCTGGGACTTAAAGAATCTTGCCTCCTCCAGTACTGTTCTAACATTGCGCTTTGTAAAAGGATGTTTCTACCACCTCACCAACATTTTTAGCTGAAATGATTTTTTTGATGTGTCTAATTCTGTGGAAAAAGAAATTTTGTATAAAATGGGTGCTGCTAAAATTTCAGGCCATTTTGCAGCTACTCTGTGAAGTGACCTTTAGTGATAGTCTTATGTACAATAACTATAACAGTGAAACAATGTTAAGTAATAAAATTTAACATTTTCCAAATGCTGTTGGCTGCCCCTTCCCCTTTTTGGTAAATTGCTGAGATTTTGGTTTGAATCCTAAAGAGTATTTTTCAGTTTAGAGCTTCAGGGTTAGTACCTTGATTCAGGTAAGGCAGATTGAGTCACTGTTAGTTTGATAAAAGTCAAGCTTAGTGGGTCTCTGATTCCTAGATCTAAGGCATATGGGAAAGTGATTTCAGCAGGTGTGAGGGACTTTTAGGAAAGGTGAATAGTATCAGCCACAGACACAGTTTTATGAATGGCTTGGAGTTACGATCAGCTACTCTGAGCTAGTTGGGGAGTCGTCTTTCCCCTTCGCCTCTCTTGAGTCCATATATTTGTAGGCTTTTTGATTGGTTGGTTTGGTTTCTTTTTGCACTATGCCTAGATGTATCTGACATCTTGTGAAAAGGGGTTTAAAAATAAGCAAGGCTCCTGGACTTAGAGTTTGGTCTGTAGCCCTACTTCTGCCTTTCCTTCTCCCTATTATATGCAGTTTATCACCCACTATAGAAACCTTCCTTTCAACCACTTATGATACTTAGAAACTTGAGCCTTCAAAGATAATTTCTAACTATTCCAATACTCCCTCACCATACTACCACCACACTTAAAAAAAGGGTTTTTTATTGACATATTAGTCCTTGAAGGTAAGATTAATATATTTTTTTAAGATTTATTTATTTGAGAGAAAGAGAGAGCGCGCGCACGTGAGAGGGGGGAGGGTCAGAGGGAGAAGCAGACTCCCCCCTGAGCAGGGAGCCGGATGCGGGACTCGATTCCGGGACTCCAGGATCATGACCTGAGCCGCAGGCAGTCGCCCAACCAACTGAGCCACCCAGGCGCCCGGTAAGATTAATATTTTAAATAGAACATATGGGCAATGCAGAATTTATACAACAGGATGCTAATTTGGAACCAAAAATACCATCTTTTGCACATGTATCATAATGTTATCATCAGTTTGCCATTGAAACAAATGGAGATTGCAGTTGTCAGAATGTAACAAATGATGAAACTCCTATCTAATATCTTGCGGCCCATTGGTTTCAAGTGATTTAGCCAAAGTCATATAGCTAGTTAGTAGAGCCTAGACTCAGAAAAAAACAAAGTAAAACAATGCAACAAAAACAGGCTTCTACCTCCCAGTCCACATCTAAAATTTGCTTCATATAAACAACTGTAATACCTTTTGCACTGAGGCAGCAATGCTGCTTTTTAAAGCTTTGGGTAGCAGAGGTCCTGCTTGCAGCATTGTTAGAAGCACTATTTTTTTGTCTTAGAGCTATAGTCAGACTAACTTTTGGTAGTTATACTTCTAATATTTGAGGATTTAAATCATATTTTAAATCTGATTCTATAATGCATTGTCATTCCAGAGCCCCTTCTAGGTAGAATCCTAATCCTGGTCTCCCAAGATGCTGCTCTACTCCTTCCCCTCAGAGGGTGGTGGTGGTTTTCGTTTGGGTCTTAAAGGAATTGCTTCATATTTCTTTTTTTTTTTTTTTTCTAGATTTCTAGTTCATTGTCAATACATGAGATTTGATAACTGGTACTCAAGTTCAGATGCTCCATTTTCTTTCTAGTTTTCTTTCCAGTTTTCACAGTAAAGCTAGAGTAAAAAATACAAATCTGATTATGTCACTCTCCATCTTTTACCTTAGTGTCTCTCTCCACTGCCCTCAGGATAAAGTACAACCTTAATATCTATGACGTGGCTCTTCCTTCCCATCCAGGCTCATTACTCACCCATTTTCTTTCTTTCTTTTTAAGATTTTATTTATTTATTTGATGCAGAGAGAGAGAGGGAGAAGCAGGCTCCCCACTGAGCAAGGAGCCCAACGTGGGGCTCGATCCAGGACCCCGGGATCATGACGTGAGCTGAAGGCAGCTACTTAACTGACTGAGCCACCCAGGCGCCCACTCACCCATTTTCTAGCCCTCAACTCTAGCTACAACTACTTTGAATTCCTCTACCTTCCACCCTCCCCAGCATTCCTCCTGCTTTAACTTGTCTAACACCTCTCTTATTTTAATCAAAAACAATCAGTTTTAATGTCTTTGAGAAGTTTTCCCTGACTGTCCAAGAGCGGGTCAGACATTCTCATTGTTCTTTAGCTCCTTATGCTTACCTTTAGCATAATGCTTTACTGCATACTGTATTATAATTGCACACTAATATGTTTTCTGCACTAGTCTAAGTTTCCTGAAGGCAGGTCTTTGCTGCTCAATCCTTGATAGAGCATTAGAGTGTGCCTAGGGATGATTAACATTATTTTTTGAATGGAGAGTGACTGTACCACAGAGTTTTAACCAAAGCCCCTGACTTCACTGTCTTCTTTATAGACCCCCCTATATGTTTTATCCCTAGAGTTTCTGCAACAGTCTCCTGAAGAAGAAGCTGGGAGGATGCAAAAAGGCATAGATACAGGGTACTGCTTTGAAGATGTAGGCTCTTAATAGAGATACAGATTAACATGCAATGATCTTAATTTGCAAGACAGCAGAGGCTCCCCTCTGAGCATTAATGGGTGACCACTGGTCAAGCACACCCCTCGACTCCGACTCCAAACGCTCTTGTGGTTTACCCAAATTATTGTCCAGTCTACCCTTGAGTCCCAACAAGTCACTCACCTGGGTCAAGGCAAGCAGGAAACTAAGTCCCCAGGCAGTCCCCAGAAGTTTCCTTCCAGCTGAGCGGGGTCCAAGCGGGTGCAGTACGGCTGCCTGACGGTCAAGTCCAATGACCACAGGCAGGAAAGCTGCAGCATACACGGCCATTAGTTTCAGGAACATGAGTGTCTGACATGCGATGTCCCCGGCCAGCCACTGAAGAGTGATATTCCAGATGGCATCTAGGGGCATAACCACAAAAGTGACTAGTAAGTCAGCAGCTGCTAAGTGGGCAAAGAGTCGTCGTACAGGGGAGGGGCGGAGTTGGCCAGGTTGTGGCCGAGTCACTGACCAAAGGACGGTCAGGTTCCCTGCAGCTGAAGAAATGAACAGCACAATGGTCACTCCCACTCGGACCTTGGCTGCAGCTGAGAAGGTGGGCAGCTCTGAGCCCTCCACCTCTACTCCCGATCCCGCCCAGACCTCCTCCCCCGCTGCTAACCCGGGAGGGGTGCCATTGCCTGCAGACATGGTGACCTGGAAGGGAAAGGGGTGGGAGGATGAAGTGTTAGTGTGAAGCGGTTAGCTTCGTCCACTGATTCTTCACCCTCCTTCTTAGGATCTGAAGCTGGTTATTGCGAATTTCGTCCATTAAAGCCTCTGTCTCCGGAGACTCAATCTGTATCCTGGAGGTCACCTGCCCGACTGTCAGGGCCCCGCAGGGAACAGGGATCTGGTGCTGGCTTCTACTTCCATAGACTTCTTTAGCCCCTACGGCCCTGGGTTCGGCCGCAGCGCTTGTGTGTTTGTGTGTGTGTGTTGGGGGTGTTCTGGAAGCACCCCCGGGGCAACCCTACCCCAGCTCCGCAGGCGAGACGCTGCCGTGCCTTCTCGCCCCGCCCCTGCTGCAAGCCCCGCCCTTGGTCCAGAATATTTAAAGAAGAATGTACCGCTGGAAGCGTGCTTAGAAAATAGAGGCCATCCGATAAGCGTATATTCTGACGAAGACCCACCGAAAAACACCCTGGTGTTGGTCCAGAGACAAACGCTTCTTCTGAAATTCCGAGGCCGGCTTCACTCGCTTTCTTTTCTGGCGATATTTGTCCCTCGCGAGACACCGTTGATCGTCCAGGAGGCGTGACAAGGGGCGGGAAGTGGGGCGGGCGCGGAGCTGCGGAGCCAGGCCTGCCGCTGTCATGGACGCCTGGGTTCGCTTCAGTGCTCAGAGCCAGGCCCGGGAGCGGCTGTGTAGGTGCGGCCCCAATAGGAATGGGGGTGGGGACAGAGGAGGATCCTCGTGAGGCGAGGTCCGTTCATACTCCGGGGGTCAAAAGGGGTCAGCTCGGGCTACGGGGGCCCGGACGGACCGCCAGGTGCTGATTTGAGCGGGCCGTGAGGAGATGATTCGTTTCTGCTCACCGGAAAGATGGGGAAACTGAGGCACGAGTGGGCCAGCGGGGAGGCCGCTCAGGGTGGCCATGTCCCCATAATACCAGCACTTTACTCACTGGGCGGTGGTGGCGTGAGGAGCATTCGCCCCGTGATGGATAGCCGGACTCTGCCTCCCAGAGCTGAGTGGCTTTAAGTTCCCTTGTCCCCTCACCCTGCTGTCATCCGGGGACTCCTCTGCCTCCGCCCTGTCTTCCGTTCTCGAGTCAGCTAGAGGGCCTTGAAATCTAGTTCACCTATTCTGAAGAATAATCCCTCCGAGATCTGTTCCCCACTCCCTTACATGTCATGTACATGCTCACACTGATGTGCTCGTGATGGACCCCCTGCTGCCTTCACAGTCCCCTTCAGACTTCATCATTGTCAAATCTCTTATTTTCTCAACTCCAAGTAATGCCCCCAACTCCTTTTCTAGGCTCCTTTTTATCCTTAACGCCTTTCCCTTCCCCTGGCCTGAAGGAGAAACGGTAAGAAGTGGGCATAAAGAGGAGGAAAGGGAATGTTCTCAAACTGGGAAAAAGGGAAGTCGATACTTTACTTTGGAAGACACTTTTGAGGGGTAGGTTAGGGACGTCTCCGCCTTACCTTGCCTGGCCTCTTCTCCAGGGCCGCCCAGTATGCCTGCTCCCTTCTTGGCCATGCACTGCAGAAACATGGGGCCAGCCCCGAGTTACAGAAACAAATTCGACAACTGGAGGGTCATCTGAGCCTAGGAAGAAAGCGTAAGTAACCGTGCTTTTGCTTTATTACTCCAACACTTCCTCCATCCCCAGCTATTCTCTTTTAGTCCTTCCTTCCTGTTCTTGACCTTCTCTGCCAGTTCTTGCCCCTTATTTGGCTCTGCATGCCTCTTCATTGAAATAAGAGAGCAGGGGTAAGAGACTAATGAAGGATTGGAGAGTATGGGGCAAGTTTGAGAAAACCAAACTGGGACACAAATTAAAATTTGAAGAAAAAAAATTTTGAACTGTTTTTCTTCTTTTTTAAAAGAATTGTAATTTTTGTTTCTGTCACTTGCTCGACTTTCACCTTCTTGCTTCCTCTTTCTCTGTGTCTCACTCTCTGCCTCTCCTTCCAAATCCTTGCTTCTCCTTGCTAATCTCCACAAGTTCTACGCCTGGGTAACTCAGCAGATGCCCTTGAGTCAGCCAAACGAGCTGTGCACTTATCAGACGTTGTCCTGAGATTCTGCATCACTGTTAGTCACCTCAATCGAGCCTTGTACTTCGCCTGTGACAATGTCCTGTGGGCTGGAAAATCTGGACTAGCCCCCCGTGTGGATCAGGAGAAGTGGGCCCAGCGTTCATTCAGGTTTGATATTCTTTTATCCTACAAGACCTTTTGTATTTCCCATACTGCATAGCTTGCCTTTTATGAGCGAAAGATCTTTCAGGGTCTTCCCAGAATATACACATCTCAATCACTTGGCTTCCAATCTTCATTTAGATTTTAAACTATCAGAGAATAGTGAATGGAGGCAGATGGAAGACAGATGTTCTTCCATGATGAATGACTGAGATTGGGCAAGACAAGATATTATATTGCTTTAAATCTGTTTCTCTCTGTACCACAGGTTATGCCTCTCACTGCCTGCTCATTCATTCATTCTAAAAATACTGAGGAGGTGTTTACTATGGGCTAGGGAATAAAGCAAAGAGTCAGATATGGTTCCCATTCTCACTAAGCTTCTAGTCTAGTGGGGGAGTCATATTAAGACAACCACCAAACCAATTATTTGTAGAAATGTACAGGGTGTTATAAGGTATATAACAAAGGGAGCTGATTTCGACTGAAAGGCCAGGGAAGAACTCTTTGAGAAGTAATGTTTTAGTTCAGATTTGAAGTCTGACAAGAAGTTAGGCAAAGTAAACAGTAGCAGAGAAGACCTCCTCAAACAGAAGATAGCCCATTCTAAGGCTTTACACCAAGAAAGATTTTGTGGAATTAGAGAAATAGAAAGAAGGTCAGCATGATGGAGAGTATTGAGTGAAGGGCATAATTTGAACTGGAGGTGTGGAGGGGACCAGATCACATGCAAGGCCTCTTCGGCAATGGTAGGATTTTTGGTTTAGTTTTGTTTAAATTTTATCCTAAGTACAATGGGTTCTGAACAGGGATGTGACATGATTCGAATTGTGTTTAAAGAAGATCTCTCTTGCTGCAGTGCAAAATGAATTGCAGTAGGGCAAAAGAGAAGGAGATGCCCTAATATGGCCAAGAGATGATGTTGGCTTAGACTAAGGCGCCAGCTAGGTGCCCCTAGATTTCATTTTAAATGGGATAGGAAGGAAGCCATGGTGAGTTTTAAGAAGGGGAGTAATGATGTGATTTTACCATGTGAAATTAGATTGTTGGGGGCAGGGGGCAAGGGGAGACCAGTTAAATGACTAAAGTAGTAGTTCAAGCAAGAGGCGCTGGTGGCTGAGACTGCCGGTGGGGTGTAAGAGAGAGAGATGTGATTGGATTCAGGATGTGTTTTGGAGGTAGGACAATTACATTGAGTACAGACCACTATTGTCGGAGTGAACATAGACTGTTGGGGCGCCTGGGTGGCTCAGTCAGTTGAGCATCCGGCTCTTGGTTTCTGCTCAGGTCACCATCTCATGGTCGATCGGTTGGTTGTGGGATCGAGCCCCCTTCTCCCCTGGCCTCGGGCTCTGTGCTCAGTGCTCAGTGGGAGTCTGCTTCAGGTTCTTTCTCCCTCTCCCGCTGCCCCTCCCCACTCATGCTCTCTCTCTAAAATAAATAAATAAAATCTTAAAAAAAAAAACCCACAAACCATAGACTGTTCATTGGTTGGTTGGTTTGTTTTTTTAAAGATTTTATTTATTTATTTGACAGAGAGAGACACAGCGAGAGAGGGAACACAAGCAGGGGGAGTGGGAGAGAGAGAAGCAGGCTTCCCGCTGAGCAGGGAGCCCGATGGAGGGCTTGATCCCGGGACCCTGGGATCATGACCTGAGCCGAGGCAGACGCTTAACGACCAAGCCACCCAGGCGTCCCTGTTTGTTTGTTTTTTAAGAAGGCTCCAATGTGGGCCTGAACCCAGGACCCTGAGATCAAGACCTAAGCTGAGACCAAGAGTTTGATGCTTAACCGACTGAGCCACCCAGGCGCCCCTGGTTTTTTTTTTTTTTTTAAGATTTATTTATATATTAATTTGTCAGAGACAGAGCACAGAAGCAGGGGGAGTGGCAGGGAGAGGGAGAGGGAGAAGCAAGCTCCCTGCTGAGCAAGGAGTGCGATGCGATGCAGGACTCCATCCCAAGATGCTGGGATCATGACCTGAGCCGAAGGCAGACGTTTAACCAACTGAGCCACCCAGGTGTCCCTGTTTGTTTGTTTTTTAAGTAATTTCTACACCCAACATGGGGCTCAAACTCACGACCCCAAGATGAAGAGTAGCTTTACTGACTGAGTAGCCAGGAGCCCCAAACATAGACTGTTCTTAAGGAATTGATAAATCCAACACATTTAGCAAGTTGCTTAATATTTCTGGGCCTCACTTTTTGTTTTTGTTTGTTTGTTTTAACAAAATGTTGGGATTTAAAAGATCCATAATGTCTCTGAGTCTCTCAAACAACTGAAGCTAGTTCTCTGAAAACATTTGCACTGTTATAGTTCAAGTTGAATGTGTGTGTGTGCTAATGGTTTGCCAAGTGGACAAGTGAAATTTGAGGGTGTTCTTGGAAGGTTTAATGATGCTCATGACTTTAAGCCAGGATCTTAAGGTACATGTAAACACAGATTAGTTACAGAAAGCTGGGAAGACATCCCTAATAGTGGGTAATAGCACTTACCGCTGGTGTTCTTACATATGATTTGCACTTTGCACTGTGGCGGAAAAAATGTTTTAGTATTCTGTTTGATATGCTAAGTGGCTATATGTGCCCTTACTGACTCTTCTTGCCTGTTTATCCCAGGTACTATCTGTTTTCCCTCATCATGAATTTGAGCCGTGATGCGTATGAGATTCGCCTACTGATGGAGCAAGAGTCTTCAGCTTGTAGCCGGCGACTGAAGGGTTCCGGAGGAGGAGCCCCAAGAGGAATTGAAACTGCAGGACCTGGGGGTCCAGGAACTCCAGGAAGAGGCTTGCCTCAACTGGCTCTCAAGCTTCAGCTCCGAGTCCTGCTCTTGGCTCGGGTCCTCCGAGGTCATCCCCCACTTCTGCTGGATGTGGTCAGAAATGCCTGTGATCTTTTCATTCCACTGGACAAACTGGGCCTCTGGCGCTGTGGCCCTGGGATTGTGGGCCTTTGTGGCCTTGTGTCCTCCATCCTGTCTATTCTTACTCTGATCTGCCCTTGGCTACGACTCAAGCCCTGATATTCTGGTACAGGATAAGGAGGGCATCTGAATTGGTAAGATGGAATCTTAGATCATCCCTAATGTACCAGCCTCATTCTAATTCTACTCCTTGGTTAAAGTTAAAATCCCAAGAGTTCGGGGTAGAGGGAGGAGCTTTGGGGAAGATGAGGTGAAGAGAGGTGTCTTGTGAAGTCGATGGGATGATTCTGACGTTCAGATCTTCTGGGGCTTTTGCTTTTTCCTCCTTCATTGCAGTGTCTGTGTCTCTCTTGACCCCTTTTACTTTGTGTTTCTTGAGTCTATTTAAGATTCTGTCTCCGCATCTGTTTTTTACCTTCTCAATTTGCTGTCCTAGGAATTTAATCAGCAGAATTACCTTTTTGGTAGGGGAGGTAGAAGGTATAGTCTGTAAGGTTCTGCCTTCTTTTTCCTCACAAAGGTGACTTGTGGCAGATTTTACCCCCTTCAAATGCCACCAAATCGTAACTTTAGAGACTTCATGTCCCAGTGGATTCTCCCCTCATGCACCAGAGGTAGTCTGATACTTCCTCCTTCGTGTCTGCCTCACCAGCCTCCCTCATGACTTGGCCCTTCCCTCTACTCACACCTGCAGATTTCTGCTTACACTTTTATTTCAGGGCTTTGTTCCCTAGCCTGTTCTCACCCCTTCTTTGCCTATCCAGAAGGATGCTGTGTCTAGCATCTTGCTGTAAATACTGTACAGTGATTCTGTGTAAATAGCTGTGGCCGTGCCCACAATGGGGAGCAAGCCTTCCAGGTCAGCACATTAAAGGTCTGTTTGCTCATCAGTGTTTGGTCTGGTCCCATGTGTTCTGGTCATCTGAGGTCTCTAATTCCTGCTACTGTGGTTTGGGTTTTCCATGGGATTAGCCACTAGTGTCATCACCCACAGACTTTTATTGAACACCTACACTACGCAGGGCATAATACTAAGAGGTAGAGATTCAAAAAGCTAAGAAGCACCATGGTCCCAACTTTAGAAGTTTATAGCCTAGTTAAGAAGATGGGGTCTAATATTACAGTAATTATACTGGTTCCACAACCCACACCCCATACCAGTTCATAGTTTCTGGTCCCTTCAAAAGCTTTAATGCCACAAGGCAACGTAGGCTGAGTCACAGACAGAACTAAGTGAAGTGCGACTGGCAAGGTTTGGTTTGTGGGCTGGCTGTGTTCGCATGTTGGGACTCCCCTGGGTGGGAGGGGAAATGATATCACTGTCACCAGCTCTTCATTTTCCGTATCCCAGGGTGAGATAAATAAGGTTAAGAAGTAAAAAGTCTCTGTCTCCCACGTCTACCATCTGTTCCAAACCTGAGGAAAGCATGAACTGCCTGGCAACAACAAAGGATAGAAAAAAAAGGAAGAGAAAGAAACTGCAGACGTCAAGACTTGGGTTCTTTGGATCTTGAGATGATGCCTCCAGGGGGCAGCACCAGGGCAGAGAAATAGGCTAAGATTGCTCAGTTCTCCTTTCCTTGGTCTGGGGCTCCCCGGAGTTCCCACCATCACTCCTCCCATTTTATTTTTAGCTGCCAGTGGGAGGGGGCAGGATGGGAGGGAAAGTAAAGAAAACAGAAAAGGAGAGGGACAGAGGCACAGAGGACTTCTCACACGGACAGAGAACAAGCAGGCATGAAGCTCGCCCTCATCCCTCACCTGCTCTTGCCCATCATGTTCCTGACAGGTGAGGGGGGTTAATTTCTTGGTTCCTGGTGGGGAAGGAAGGTGTATGGGTTGTTTGGCATCGAGACCTTTAGGGTTAAAATCTTTGGAGTTAGGGGGAGAAGTTAACACTGATTCTGCGAGTCGTGTGTGCATGTGTGCGTGTTTGTGTGTGTGCGCATGTTTTCATTCTTATGCCCACACATACGAGGGCTTCGGGATGGAGACGGGCAGGGCCTTGGGTCAGGTTTGTGTCCCATTATCTAAAATCTTTTATCCTAAGCCTTGAAGGAGTGAGTGGATCAAAAAGAAATATGATGTGACCTTCCACGTGGCTAGTCTGATTCCTCTTATTCTCCTCCCAACTTCCTTCTACCCTTGGGGGTCTCTCGAGCCCGAGGCGTAACTAACTGTGTGGTGAGAACTCAGTTTATCTAACCCGTGAGCTCCAGTTGCTGGTCATACAGCCCTGCCAGCTTCCTGGATGCAAAAAGGCTCACATAGAAAACACCTTTCTGAGAAGGAACGTGGTTTGAGACAGAGCTTATAGCCATTGGTAGTGGGGGTGGTGGGGGTGGCCTGAGAGGGGGTTGCTTGAAAGGAGAGAGCAAGCCAGGGAAGAACCATGGGACGGACGAGAGGCTTGGCATTTTTCCTCACCAGTGCCCTGTAATCTTTGTTTCCTAAAATACCAGCTCTGATTTCTTTATACATTTTTTAAATTTAATTTTATTTTTAAGTAAATTCTATGCCCAACGTGGGGCTTGAACTCATGACCCTGAGGTCAAGAATAGCATGCTCTACTGACTGAGCCAGCCAGGTACCCCATATCAGCTCTGATTTTAAAGGGCTTGGGGTTGGTGGGGGTGGGGGTGAGACTCAGCCAGGACAAGAGTAGGGGGGTGTCTTTAGAGTGGGCTGAAAGTTAAGGAAGAAAGGCAGGTAAGCAGGGGGCAGTTGGGAGGGTGGATGAGTTAGAAAAGAAGCGGGTTGTGGGAAACCTTGGGGTGATGGTACCCTTGGTAAGGACGGTTGGCAAACCATGTGTGTGGGCAGGCAAGTGGCCCCACCCAGTTAATTACCACTGAGGTTTTCAGGGTTGGAATCATGCAGGGACACTTAGACAGTGGAGAAAGAGACTGAGAGTGTGACTGTGACACTGGGAGTCGTGAAGAGACAGAAAGAGGAGAGACCAGGCAGTACTCACTAGCCTCTTGTCCTCCCTGAGGTCCTGCATTTGGGGAGAATCTGGAAGGAACAGTTGTTCTGAGCTGCAGAAAGGCCCTCTCCCTCTTTGAGTCTTGCAGCTTCTGGGGGAGGATGCGTAGGAGGAATGATGTGGACACCAAGAACCTGACCCTTCCAGACACGTCTGTGAATGAGACTGCAGGGGTGGGAACGGAAACACAGCCGTGCACCAGCATGGCGGAGGGCCACAGGTTGGACAGCTGGCCTGAGACACAGGAAGAAGACCATCCTCGCTTGGAGCTCTGAGGACATGAGTAAAGAAACAGGGAGATTGACTGAGATCAAAATGTTCCCTTCATGGGCGCCTGGGTGGGTGAGTTTGTTAAGCGACTGCCTTCGGCTCAGGTCATGATCTTGGAGTCCGGGGATCGAGTCCCGCATCGGGCTCCCTGCTCGGCAGGGAGTCTGCTTCTCCCTCTGACCCTCTTCCCTCTCGTGCTCTCTATCTCTCATTCTCTCTCTCTCTCTCTCAAATAAATAAATAAAACTTTAAAAAAAAAAATGTTCCCCTCATGCTTCCTCTCTGGTTGTACCGCTCTGGGCATTCAGTGGCCTCTCTGACCGCTTCCTCCTATCCTTATGACCCTGCCCGCCAGGTCTGTGCTCCCCCTTCAATCTGGATGTGCATCGCCCACGCCTATTCCCAGGGCCACCCGAGGCTGAATTTGGATATAGTGTCTTACAACATGTCGGGGGTGGACGTCGATGGTGAGGAGGAAACCAGAGGGACATGGGATTGGGACTGTGGTGGAGCTCTTAAAGGGGAGGCAAGGCAGACGGGAATCTAAACGAACCTGGTCTTTTTGGAAGCGGCTGGGATTCGGGACTTGCTACCCCCATGCATTTTCCCTCTGGCCTATCTCAAAGGTCATGTGCACACAACGCTTATACTCATGTCCTTCCCCCAGGATGCTGGTGGGTGCCCCCTGGGATGGGCCTTCAGGTGACAGAAGAGGGGACGTTTATCGCTGCCCTGTAGGGGGTTCCCACAGTGCTCCGTGTGCCAAAGGCCACTTGGGTAAGAAGATGCCTCACTCTTCCACTCCTAACTCCTAACCCCTAACCTGATATGCTAGTAGCCACCTCACCTTCACCCCCATATCCTACATACTCCCTTGTCTTTGACTTGATCCTGATCTCATCCTCTTTCAAAATCACCCTAAATTCAAGAAGCTCATGTGTGACCCCATGATCTCATTCTTTCCCACCCCCTTCCAACCAGGTGACTATCCACTGGGAAATTCATCTCATCCTGCTGTGAACATGCACCTGGGAATGTCTCTACTAGAGGCAGATAATGATGGGGGATTCATGGTGAGCTAAGGAAAGGGTGGTGATGGGGTCTCTGAAGGATTTTGGCAGAGAAAAGAGCAGTATGGTAAGGGACACTGGTCTATGTGAAGGGGTCAAGGTCCAGAAGTTTAAAACCCTGGAAAGCAAGGAGAGGAATCCCAGGTTTCAGTGCCTCTTGGACTAGGGGCAAGTGTTGAGAGTGCGCTCCCAAGCCCTGGCGGTAACACTTCTCCTGCCCCTCCCTAGGCTTGTGCCCCTCTCTGGTCTCGTGCTTGTGGCTCATCTGTCTTCAGTTCTGGGATATGTGCCCATGTAGATGCTTCATTCCGGCCTCAGGGAAGCCTGGCACCCACTGCACAACGTGAGCCACAAGAAGGGCCTGAGGACCCAGTCCCCAGAACTGGGCGCGGGGTGGGAAAAAGGTGGGGCAACAGGGTATGATGCCGGACAGGGGGCCTGCATAGCTTTCCTCGTTGTTGCCGAACGTGCCTGCAAAAGCTCCATGTTTCCTAACAGATTAGAATGCAGACTCTTTGCCAGGGCATCCAGACTCCATGAACTGATCTAACCAACTTCAAAAACTCAACCCTCACTCTACCCCTCCATGCACTGTGCCTTGGCCATGGCTCTTCCCTCCCCATTCTCCTCTTTGTCATCCATTTTTTACCTCCTTGTCCTTTTATTTAAAGTGTTCTCCATGCAAGTGTCTTTTCTTACATTCTCCTCTCCTCAAACATCTTCCGTTGCCTCCTCCTTTGATTCCCTATTATCAGAACGGACCCTCTGTTGTCCTATAGCACAGAGCGGTGCTCTGTTTCTCCCTAGCACTCGATTCCTCCTCCTCCTCCTCCTCCTTCTCCCTTCTTCTCCTTCTTCTTCTCTTTCTTCTTCTCGTAAATTATATGCATGCCCATCTCCTCTTTTACTCATTTCTACATTGACCCAGGGCCTGGCATACTACCATCCTTGCATGTTCAGAAGGGCCTAAAATGTGTTTGAATGGAATGGACCCTCATGTGACCTCCTCCCTTGTTGTCCCCATGTCCAATATCCTCCTACCCCTCTGTTCCTCATCAGCATCCCCCTCCTCCTAGGCTGTCCCACCTACATGGATGTTGTCATCGTCTTGGATGGCTCCAATAGCATCTACCCCTGGTCTGAAGTTCAGACTTTCCTACGAAGACTGGTAGGGAGACTGTTCATTGACCCAGAGCAGATACAGGTAAGAGAAGGCAATATGGCGGGGCTTGTAGGGGGAGAGAGAGCAGGGGCAGGGTGGTGAGGAGGTAAATGTAGGTCGTGTCTTCAGTAGTAGCCCTGCCCTCACGTCCCTCAGTACACGCATTCCATGTGAGCGCACACTTTGTTCTCAGGTGGGACTGGTACAGTATGGGGAGAGCCCTGTGCATGAGTGGTCCCTGGGAGATTTCCGAACAAAGGAAGAAGTGGTGAGGGCAGCGAGGAACCTGAGTCGGCGAGAGGGACGAGAAACAAAGACTGCCCAAGCAATCCTGGTGGCCTGGTGAGGCATTGGGAAGGGGAGCCTGGGAGGCCAGAGTGAGGAGGGCCTAGAAGGGTTAGGGAGGGTCTGAAGTACAGTGCGTCCACCCCAAGATGTCTGTCATGCTTTCCTTTGTGTGCACACTGGTGGTTGGGGAAGGCTAAGCTGGCTGTCTTTGCACATCTCCCCACATTCTCACCACATTCTTCAAAGTGTCTGTGTCTGTGTCTTTCCACGTTTCCGAATGATTTATCTCTGTAGACGGAACTCTCTCTATCCCTGCACTCTCACTTCGATCTTGGCCTTCGGGTTCTTCACCACTCGAGTCCTAGCCCGCTTGCCAGACGTGATTCAGAACTCATCTCTGGGAAGACTCCCCTGTCCCGCCCCCGTCCTTGATTTTACACTTCTCTGAATATGTGTCCTTTCGCCAGTGCAATATTTGCTGAATGAATCTACGAGCGAATGGATTTTATACTTATTTGCCTGGAGTATATGCTGCTTTATATGTTCTATGTCATTCAAACATTTTAGCCCTTACTGTGTGCCAGTCTCCGTGCCAGACACTGTCAGGGAAATGGAGTAAAAGGGGAGATGCCTGACCTCAGTGAACTGCGACAGTGGGTTGTGTGTGTGTGTGTGTGTGTGTGTGTGTATCTGCATACACGTTATCACACCTCACTCCGTTGTGTGTGTGTGTGTGTGTGTGTATCTGCATACACGTGATCACACCTCCCTCCTTTCTCTCTCTTCTCAGCACAGAAGGATTCAGTCCGTCCCATGGGGGCCGACCAGAGGCTGCCAGGCTGCTGGTGGTTGTCACTGACGGAGAATCGCACGATGGGGAGGAGCTTCCTGCAGCACTCAAGGCCTGTGAGGCTGGAAGAGTGACCCGCTATGGGATCGCGGTGAGAATCTCCTCTGGCTCTGGCGGGATGGAGGGGGGATGGTGACACTGAGGACTGGGAACTTGGAGAGAATGGGCATTAACCACTTCCCAAAGATCGGCCGTATTTCCCTTCCTTCACCTTAGTTGGCCTGCTTTAACATCCCACTTCGCACAGCTAACTGACCCCACCTGCGTCTCCTGATCCCAGGTCCTTGGCCACTACCTCCGGAGGCAGCGAGACCCCACCTCTTTCCTGCGGGAAATCAGAACGATTGCCAGTGATCCAGATGAGAGATTCTTCTTCAATGTCACAGATGAAGCTGCGCTGACTGACATTGTGGATGCCCTAGGAGACCGGATCTTTGGCCTTGAGGGTAATGACTACCTGAAGAAAGGGAGGACAGGAAAGGGGGGTGTTCTGGGTGTAGGTGGGGTTCTGTGGTGAGTTCAGTATGTCAAAGGAAATGTCTTCCCTGATTCTGCTTTGATATTTTCTCGTGCTCAGGGTCCCATGGAGAAAATGAAAGCTCTTTTGGGCTGGAAATGTCTCAGATTGGTTTCTCTACTCATCGACTAAAGGTTGGACAGACTCTGACCCCTCTGTGACCCCCCTCAACATCTGACTCCTCCCAACCTGAGACTCAGGCAACTTCAACCCAGGGCTCTTCTAGATTCCTCCTTTAACCAGTGCCCGTGCTGACCTTCCCATGCCTTTCCAGCTGACCCCAGCATACCCTTAGTGACCTTCTCACTCCTGGGGTTTTTACTCCTCATTTCCTGTTGTCTTTTCAAGTGACCCCATCTGTTTCTGCCAAACAGGATGGGATTCTCTTTGGAATGGTGGGGGCCTATGACTGGGGGGGCTCCGTGTTATGGCTTGAAGAAGGTCACCGCCTTTCCCCCCCACGGACAGCCTTGGAAGACGAGTTCCCCCCTGCTTTGCAGAACCACGCAGCCTACTTGGGTGAGTAGCAGAGGGTTGCAGGGGATGAGGGGGTGAGGAGGAAATGTTTCATCAGTGGAGGGTGTGAGAGCAGTTTCTCACGGATCTGCTACTTTCCTTGGGACCTGCTCCTGTGCCTTTAGGGAACCTTCCTACTCTGACCCCATCTTTTTTCCCTTTCACCCCTGATTCCCTGCCCACTTCTAGGTTACTCTGTTTCCTCCATGCTTTTGCGGGGTGGACGCCGCCTCTTTCTCTCAGGGGCTCCTCGGTTTAGACATAGAGGAAAGGTCATCGCCTTCCAGCTTAAGAAAGATGGGGCTGTGAGGGTTGCCCAGAGCCTCCAGGGGGAGCAGGTAGGGTATGCAAGGGAGGGGTGGGACCTTGGATCCTGAGGGACCTTCAGGCTGTGGGGGAGGAAAGGGAAGAGCCAAGAGAGGAGCCTGAAAAGCCTTTGCTGAATTCTGGCCGGCGGAGTCCGTCAGGGGTGTGAGGACCAGACTGGCAGGCTGGCGGGTACTTCGCACTTGTCCACAATCACCTTGTCTTTTCTTTGGGGTCCCACTCCCCACCACTCCCCAGATTGGCTCCTACTTTGGCAGTGAGCTCTGCCCATTGGATACGGATGGGGACGGAATAACGGATGTCTTACTTGTGGCCGCCCCCATGTTCCTGGGGCCCCAGAACAAGGAGACAGGGCGGGTTTATGTGTATCTGCTGGGTCAGGTGAGACTCGCTGGCTCCCCTTGAACTTGTCTGTGGGGGGTGGAGGGAAGAAGGAAGGGAAGGCGCATCCATTCACCCATTCACAGGCTGGCTGAGAGGTTGGGGCTGCCGGCTCAGCGTCTTCTGTCTTCTCCCTCCACCAGCAGTCCTTGCTGACACTCCAGGGAACACTTCAGCCGGACCCCCCCCAGGATGCTCGGTTTGGCTTTGCCATGGGTGCCCTTCCTGATCTGAACCAAGATGGTTTTGCTGATGTGGCCGTGGGGGCACCCCTGGAGGATGGGCACCACGGAGCGCTGTACCTGTATCATGGCACCCGGAGCGGGCTCAGGCCCCGGCCCGCCCAGGTCAGGAGTGTCCGGATAAAGCAGGGGCATGCGTGGCAGGAAGGGGAAGGGGGATGTGCTCCTTTTTCGTCATTGTTTCCCTGACCTGGAGACCCAAACTGGACAAGTGCTCTTTTATCAGTAGTCAAAAAGGTGAGGTGGTAGGGTAGGATACAGGTGGTTGTACTAGGGACTCCTGGACACAGGCTAGTTTCTTTTATTACTTCTTATTCTCTCTCTCTTTTTTAAGATTTTATTTATTTGAGACAGAGAGTGCACAAGCCAGGGGGAGAGGCAGAGGGAGAAGCAGACTCCCCCCCGAGCAGGGAGCCCAAGGCGGGGCTTGATCCCAGGACCCTGGGATCATGACCTGAGCCGAAGGCAGGTGCTTAACCGACTGAACCACCCAGGCGCCCACCTTCTTATTCTCTTACTCCTTATTGTGAGTGTGCCAGGTGGGTGGCCTGGGCCACCGGGCGTGAGAGTCCCAGCTCAGTCTCCCCTCTCTTCCACTCAGAGGATTGCTGCCATCTCCATGCCACAGGCCCTCAGCTACTTTGGCCGGAGTGTGGATGGCCGGCTGGATCTGGATGGAGATGACCTGGTAGATGTGGCTGTGGGTGCCCAGGGGGCAGCCGTCCTGCTCAGGTGAGCCGCACCAGTTCAGAAGGCGGTGGGCAGCGTGGTGCAGCTGTGAAAAGCAAGGGCTTGGGAGTCACAGACTTAGATTTGGATTTCTTTCTTTTTTTTTTTTTTTTTTAGGATTTTATTTATTTGAGAGAGAGAGCAAGAGAGAGCACTAGCCGGGGGAGGGGCAGAGGGAGAGAGAGGAGCAGGCTCCTGCTGGGATCATGACCTGAGCTGAAGGCAGACGCTTAACTGACTGAACCGCCCAGGCGCCCCTAGATTTGGATTTCTTGACCAACTTGCTCTGTTCCTCCATTTCCTAGTTTTTAAAAATGGGAATAATCATAGTGCCTGCCTCATAGGCTTGTTGTGAGGATTCAATGCCACAATCGGGTAAAGATCTTGACGCAGTGCCTAGCACATGGCAAGTACTTCTTCAATGTCAGCTATTATCTTTCTGCCGGAAGGTTCCGGGGAGGGTGACACGCGTACATCTAGCTCCTCGTTCTTGCCTTTGACCTCTGGGAGGCCAACACTGGGGACTGCCTTCTTCAAAGGGCTTTCCTCTCACTGCTAGAATTTCTTTCCCACCCTGCTCCCAGCTCCCGGCCCATTGTCCACCTGGCCCCCTCACTGGAGGTGACCCCGCCAGCCATCAGTGTGGTTCAGAGGGACTGCAGCCGGCGAGGCCAGGAGGCAGCCTGCCTATCTGCCGCCCTTTGCTTCCAAGTGACCTCGCGCACCCCTGGCCGCTGGGATCGCCGATTCTGTGAGTGACCGGAGCGGCCTAAGCAACTCTCAACCCTGCCGGCCTCGGTCTCTGGACCGCCCTTCACCCTCGCTCCTGCCTGCCCTGTCCAGATTTGCGGCTTACAGCATCCCTGGATGAGTGGACGGCAGGGGCACGTGCTGCGTTTGATGGCTCTGGCCAGAGGCTGTCCCCTCGGAGGCTCCGGCTCAGCGCCGGGAATGTCACTTGCGAGGCGCTACGCTTCCACGTGCTGGTGAGGAGGGGCAGTAAGTGCTTTGCATCAGGGCCTGGGAGCAAGGGGAAGGCGGATTGGAGGACGAATTCCCGCTGGATTGGCAAAAAAGCCAAAGCCGAAGGTGGGACAACCAGGAAGGTCAGCGTCTGGGGGCAGGCTGATCTGGGTTTGAAGCCTAGCTCCGCCGTTTGCCGCTTGTCAACTCTGGCAAGCCACACAACCTGCACGCCTCAGGTTCCTTGCCTAAAAGGAGGAGATACTAATAATACCTACATTGTGGGAGTTGTGTTAGAATTCAATGTAATGGTATTGATAAAACCTTTGGACCGTACCTAGCACATAGAAGGTGCTCAGTACATGATCACTATAATCGTCCCATTCTGCCAGGGGCCTGGGCTGTACCCCTAACCCAGGCTCCCCATGATCCTTGACTCTGGTTTTCCTCAGGATACCTCAGATTACCTCCGGCCCCTGGCCTTGACTGTGACCTTTGCATTGGACAACACCACGAAGCCAGGGCCTGTGCTGGATGAGGGCTCACCTACCTCCATACAAAAGCTGGTCAGCGGTGCCAAGCCCTGCCCTGCCCCTGGGTTCCAACACTGTCCTCAGTGAATTTGAGAGACATGGAGGGTGGACACCTGATATCACAGCGAAATCTGACCTGGGCATCCACTCTTCTCTTTTCACTTTTCCCCTAATTCCATTCCTTTCTCCTTGCCTTCCTATTGGGCCCTCAGCCCCTTCTTTCCCCTCTAGGTCCCCTTCTCGAAGGATTGTGGCCCTGACAATGAATGTGTCACAGACCTGGTGCTTCGAGCTAATATGGACATCAAAGGCTCCAGGTGGGACAGATATGAACTGGCCAAACCAGGGTCACCTGAGACCAACTGGAAGGAACTTGAAGGGAGCTGGAGGGTTGTTTCTTGCCCAGGAAAGCAGAAGTGATGCTTCTGGGAGCTTTTTCAACTTCTGGGCTCTCCCTTATCCGCCACTCCTAGGAAGGACCCGTTCGTGGTTCGAGGAGGTCGGCAGAAAGTGTTGGTGTCAGCAACTCTGGAGAACAGGAAGGAAAATGCCTACAACACTAGCCTGAGTCTCAGCTTCTCTAGAAACCTCCACCTGGCCAGTTTCACGGCTCAGGTGCCGGGGGGGGGCGGGGTGGGGGTGGAGGTTTGGGAGGAGTCAGGGCAGGAGGAGGAAGAAGATTGGGGTATTGGCCTCGGCTGTGAAGGGCTCTAGAGAAAGGCTCAGTGTTTCGAGGCTGCGGGCGGGAGAGTACCTGCAGCTTCAGCTCCAGCCCTCACCCCCGTTCCTCTGCTCTCAGAGGGACAGCCCAGTGAAGGTGGAGTGCACCGCCCCTTCCCCTCATGCCCGGCTCTGCAGTGTGGGGCACCCTGTCTTTCGGACCGGAGCCCAGGTGAGTGGGGGCCCAGAACGAGAAAGTGGCTCTGAGAGAGCAGGGACTGGAAACTGCCGGGCCTGGGAGTTTAGGGAAGGAGGTACACAGCGGCTCCTGAAGAGGAAGATTCCATGACCCCATATAACCCCAGGTGACCTTCCTGCTGGAGTTTGAGTTTAGCTGCTCTTCCCTCCTGAGCCAGGTCCTTGTGAGGCTGACTGCCACCAGGTGAGAACAAAGGGAGCTTCCCCCCCCAGGCCTCTCCCGTTGGGTCTTATCGGGGAAGGGTTGTCTGAGAGGGGCTGGGACGTGAGCCTCTCCCCCTGACCCTACAGCAATAGCCTGGAGAGAAATGGGACCCTTCAAGATAACACAGCCCAGACCTCAGCCTACATTCAATATGAGCCCCACCTCCTGTTCTCCAGGTATGGCTCAGCTCCCTGCTAGGACCCCGTTCTGACCCCAGACTCATACTCTGTGTTTCCTCCCTTTCCTTCCACGTGTTTTCCCCAAACCCTTGGGGCTGCTGCATCTTTTTGCCCTCAATCCCACTCAAGTTGAACCTTTTAAGCATCTTACTTTCCTAGGTATGAGTATACCTATGCGTCCTAGGTATAGGGCTTTGCTGTAGGCCTTGGGCATTGAAGCTGGGGTGGCGGGTATGGGATGTGACTGTAAAGTTTGTACCAAGTCTACGCCATGTCCCATTTTGATCTTCTTTATGTATCCCCATCTCTTTATCCATGTGCTGGCTCTGCCTTCCCTGAATCCATGTCTGGGTGCTGATCATGTGCCCCTGTGTCTGTGTCATGGCTGTGACCATGTACTTCCTGACTTGGTGTCCACGCAGTGAGTCCACTCTGCACCGCTATGAGGTCCACCCATACGGGACCCTCCCAGTGGGTCCCGAATTCAAAACCACTCTTAGGGTGAGAAGCTGGAGGGTCCTTGGCATGAGCAGGGGGAGGGGGAGGAGTCCTGGGCAAAGGAGGGGACGAGTCTCTCTTAGATGTCCAGGGGCGTCTAGGGTGAAGGGGAACAGATAAGGAAGGATCTTCTGTCTCCCACTTCTTCCCATTTCCAATCCTGCTCTTAGGTTCAGAACCTTGGCTGCTATGTGGTCAATGGCCTCATCATCTCGGCCCTCCTTCCAGCTGTAGCCCATGGGGGCAATTACTTCCTGTCATTGTCTCAAGTTATCACTGACAATGTGAGTCTGGGCTAAGGGCGTAGGGAACCCTGCCACCTCGATCTGGTGAACTCACCCAGCCCCCTATCTGCTGGGTCACTGCTCTCAGGGCTCCTCCCTCTGGGAGACCTTTCTTTTATACATGTGGCTTCTTTGGGGAGAAAGAAAGGGATTGCGCAGGGAAGAACCACAGAGCATGCGTGGATGGTATGCTCCTGCTCAGCCTGAAGTGGCTGGCCTCTCACCATCAAGAGGGTCGCTCAAGTTGCATCTTCCTCTAGGCAAGCTGCGCAGTAGAGAACCTGACCGAGCCCCCAAGGCGCCCTGTGCACCCAGAGGAGTTTCAGCACACAAACAGACTGGTATGAGTCGCAAGAAGGTGAAGGAGATATCCAGAGTGGGAATGCAGCGGGGAGCAGTAGATTTTGGAGCCTTGGGGCAGGAGTGGGGAGTAGGCGATTTTTCCACCCCAAGATCCTGATCTGTCTGTCTCTTCTGGCAGAACGGGAGTAACACTCGGTGTCAGGTTGTGAGGTGTCATCTTGGGCGACTGGCAAAGGGCACCGAGGTCTCTGTCGGACTACTGAGGCTGCTTCACAATGAATTTTTCCGGAGGGTAAATCTTTTCTTCTATTCTCCTCTTCTGCTCCTACGTGGAACTTCGGCATAGTCTTTGGAAAAGACTCAGCTTCAAGTTCCAGCTTTGCCTCCCATGAGCTGTTGGACCTTGAGCAAGTAATTTAATCTCTCTCTGATTCTTTCTCTTTATCTCTAAAGTGGGGAAGATAATACCTACCTCGTGGGGTTGTAAAGAATAAATGGATAACGAGATGGATTCCTTGTATTTTCCTCTGTTTGTCATCCCTTGGTGCCGTATCAATAATCAACAATTATAGGATACCTAAATTCAGCCAATTAATAATCTATCAAGTGCCTACTATAGAAAAAGGACCTGTAGTAGGTAGACACTGAGGAGAATATCCCCAACACTCAGCACCATGCCTAACTCATTATAGTGACTCAAATCATTTCTCTTAAATGAATGAATAAATAGTCGGTATTACACGCATGATAGGTATTGGAGGGTAACGGGAGGCAAGATTGTACAGCTAAAAGGGATCTAGGTTATGAAAGTTCTCCAAAGCTAAGGAGGTGAGATTCAACTCAATGTGATGGGCAGTCAGGAGTCAGTGTGAGTTTCTGAGCAGGGAAACGACATCTTAATTATAACGGCTATAACAGTGACTAGGGGCAATTTACTTTGAACAGCACAAGCTCCCTGGGATGTAGGCATATTTTATGGGAAGCTTAAGTCTGAGACACCATCCTTCCCTAAGTCTGGTTCTCTCTTTATCTCTCCTCGGTGTCCTTTTTTCAAATTCGTTCATTTATTTTTTCAATAAAGCCTTATTGAGAAACCAGTGTGTACTTGGCACTGTGCTAGGCACTAGGCCCTAGAGACACATATGTTTATAAGACACAGCGCTTGACCTCAAGGATCTTCTAGTCCAGTGGTGAAAGACAGAGAAGTAAACAGAATATTATGACCTAATCCAGGGTGATGGGGGTTAGGAGGAAACACTTCCCTAATTCCCAGAGGGGATGATGTCTAAACTTCAGCCTGAAGGAAGGGTAGGGGTCAGCCAAAGAACTGGGAGTTAAATAATACTGGGTAGAGCAAACAGCACCTATGAAGGGCCAGAGGCTTTCCCTCTGTTACCCTTCTGCTCTTTCTCCTTTGATCTCCAACCTTTTCTTCTGGTCTGGAAGATGCTGGAAGTTGTGCCTACCAGCCTCATCTTTACCGTTGGGGTTCTAAGACCACACCACCTGATGATGGCTCATTTTCAATGTCTTCCACAGGCCAAATTCAAGTCTCTGACAGTGGTCAGCACCTTTGAGCTGGGAGCTAAGGAGGGCAGTGTCCTACAGCTGACAGAAGCCTCTCGTTGGAGTGAGGTGGGACCGAAGCCTGGGTTTGAGAGCCACAGAAAGAGTGAGGGTGGGAACGGGGCAAGGGCACCTGGGGGCTTTTTTAGAGCAGAGGCATCCTCATTAGGCAGGCAGCTGGAGAGTCAGAAGCGATAAATCAGGATGCTGCGGTCCCACTGCCTTTATTCCTGCCTCGGTTGCTTTCTTTTTATTCTTCTACTTCAAGGCTTCTATTTCACCCCGATAACGTGCGGTGGGGCGAGCTGGGAGAACGGGTGCAAGTACCGAACAGCTCTCCTCCCCATACAGAGCCTGCTGGAGGTGATTCAGACCCGCCCGGTCCTCATCTCCCTGTGGATCTTCACCGGCAGCGTCCTGGGAGGGCTGCTCCTACTCGCTCTCCTTGTCTTCTGTCTTTGGAAGGTAAGCACTGCTTTGGCGGGAAGTATGGGGCATGATGCCCATGAGTTGAGGGCTCCTCGAGGATATAGCAGGGAGAACTGGATTTGTGCTGGGCAGCTAAGCGGGCTGTGGGTGTCCTGCCCGGATCGCTTTCACTCTACTCTACAAATGTTGGTTGAACTAAACTAAGCCAAATAAAATAAACTAGAATCTCGTTTTTGGAAGCAGAACAAAAGTGAAGATTTCAGACATATCTGAGGGCTGTTGGCAAGGTGCCCAGGCAGTACATTTGGCGATGACTCTTATCTCTTCCGCTACAGCTTGGCTTCTTCGCCCGAAAGAAAATCCCCGAGGAAGAAAAAAGAGAAGAGAAATAGGAGCAATGAATGTAGAATAAAGCCCTAGAAAGTCCTCTTGGCAGCTTCTCCGAAAGACTTGCGTAAGAGCCGTGGTCTGGGGGCTCAGATGGACAAGAAGAGCCTCTGGACTGTCTCCCCAGACCTGCAGCCTGACTTGACTTTTGCGTCATGAGCATGCTGCTGGCAAGAGATGAGGCCTTACCTCAGACGAGAAGGGCTGGCGCCCAAACCAGAAACACTCTCCCCCTGTGCTTCCCTCCTCATGATCCTGCTGCCACAGCCAACACTGGCGCCTTGGTTGGGGGCCCCCTTTTTCCTTATCCCCAGGAATCAAGAATTTTTTGCCTAGGTTCCCTGACTCCTTTTAGATTCCCCCCGACATCCTCCCTCAAATTTGGAAAGGATGAAGGCGATCTTCCTCCATTCCCTGCCTCTCACCTTCCTGCCCGCTCTCCACTCCACAGAAGGGAGCTGACGTTGGCTTCGAAAAGTAAAGTCAACATCTGCTTCTTTCCTGTGGAGTCCGGTGATTCAGAGAGCCGGCTGGGGAGAGTCAACAGGAAACAAGGAGGGAGGAAGAAAAGCCACAAGAGACATTCTGTACAATTCCAAGGAACAGAGAAGCCTTTAGACGGGCAACTGCCATCCGCCTGAAACCTGAGACTTCGTGGTGCACTAGCCCGCCCTCAGGTGCCTGGGAAACCAAGCTGCCCCAGGCCTGCTGGGCCTGGGTTTCCCAGCTCAGCGCCTTCCCTGGGCGCGAAGCCAGGGCCGGCTGCCTGATGCTCCGGAGCGAGGGGCCCCCAGGTGGCTAGAGCTGGGATAGCAGAAAAGAGTCCCAGTGTTTCGGTCCTGGCCAGTGGAGAGAGTTGGATACCCTGGGCGGTGTTTTCTCCTCTCTCGGGCCTCACACACTCATGAGCCCTCCTTGGGGCTATTATAGAAACTAGAGAGAAGGGAGATGATTTCTTCTTGACGGTGGGAAACCCTTTCACCGGCTTTGGCAAGCAGCAGCTCCGTAGGGTCTAAACTAGTCAGGTCTGCACTGACGAAGAAGCCAAAGTGGGTGGCAGGAGGTCTCTGGGGAGCAAGCCCTTACTTGCTTAGCATTGGTTGTGTGGCACAAAGAGCTCCTAGGAAAATGTTTCTGGGGCAACTGCAGTTATTCCTGGTAGGGTGGAATCAGTTTGCCAGCCCTTGCCTGGTATTTACTGGAAAGTTCCAATTTCTATCTCTGGGTCACCTCACCACCTCTCCTCCCATTTTGTGGGCCTCGCCAGTAGTAGAGCGAATTACCTTCTCACCAATGACTGGGTAACTTATATTTCTTTGTAATCAAGACTTTGGATACCAAAGTCTGTTATTGGTCTCCACGGTGTGGCTCTGACGGCCATTTGAAGAATCCGCACCTGTTTCGTGCTGAGAAGAGAGGAGACCTGACCGGGCAGTTGACCAGCAGCCACCACAGAACTTGTTCTGGAGGCCTGACCACAATGTTTATCTTGACATGTCTCTGGTCTTTTGCACAGAACACTGTCTCTGTTTCCTAGCAGGGTGGACAGGAGATCAGATGGTCAGAACAAATAAAGTTCAGTGTCAAATGACTTCTGGCTCTCTTTGAGTTCCCTAGGATATGGACCGCTCAGGAATGGTGACAGGGAGGTTCTTGGGCCGCCCGAGACCTACACAGTTGAGTTCCTGGAAGGCAAAGTTATAAGATATTCGAAATGTTTTCCGTGACTCTCCCACTGGAGACATCTTCTAGCTTCCTGCAATCCTCACCTACTTAAGTGACTACAGAGCATAAATCGTGTAGGTTTGGAAAGCACGTGAGCCTAGATTGAAACCCCAGGTCTGCCATGTATTAGCTGTGTGGCCTTGGGCAAGTCATAACCAGCCCGAGCCTGAGATAACAGTAAGGGGCCGTGTGGTGCAGTGGTTAAGGGTGAAGACAGACCTGGGTTTAAGTCTCAGCTATACCACTTTGACCTTGCGCGGATTTAATTTCTTTAAGTCTTGGCTTTCTCGTCTTTAAACTTACTAGGGTTGTGAGGACCAATGAGATAATTCAAGTAAAGTGATACTCAGTAAAGGTTAACTATTATTATAAAAATATTTTGTTATAAAATAAGCGATCTGCGTGGAGCACTGGGTGTTATGCACCAACAATGACTCATGGAACACTACATCCAGAACTAATGATGTCATGTATGCTGATGAGCATAACAATAAAAAAATTAAAATAACCTATCTTCCTGTATATCGTGAGGATTAAGTCAGAAGGTATATCAAAGCACCAGGTGGTGCTCCTAATCTGGTGGCCCACCTCCCCTTTACACAGGCCCTGAAGACTTGTTTCCCCTATGTGCTATTGTCTCCTGCCACTAAATCTTATCCCACGCCTCATCCCCTTTGAAATAAGCCCTCATGCCCACTAAGGCAATAATTAGAAGGTTCTAATGGTAGAAATCAAGTCTATTTGATTTTTTTTAGACATCCAGTGTTCTTCTAGTACCCTCAAGGAACATGTGCACTTAAGCAACAGGCTTAGAAATAAGACCATGTCTCTTTCTCTCTGTTGCCTAACTCCAAAAGTGGTGGCCGGTCTGGCCAATAGGCCAGGACAACCATTCTGTGGCAAACCGATGAGTTATTGTGGCAGAAGGAGTCCATGGTGACACCTCAGTGCACTTCATATAAGCTATCACTTGATGGAGCATACTCTTTCTGATGTGATGTGGACAGATCTCCCCTCTTTATCCCCAGTCAGCACCGAAAGGGAGATGGATTTCTTTGAGGACCGGCTCATTTAATTCCTTATCCATGTGATTAAAAGAGCATTTTAAATATTTTTCCCCACCTAGAGATCCCTCTCTTCTCTCTCCTTCAGCTCCAGAGTGGGACTTTCTAACCCAACCTATTCTTCACTAGGCCTCTTCCTTTGAAGCAGAGGCAGTTTGAGAAGCCACTGTGGAAACAACAGGCTCTCCTCAGACACAGGAGTGTCCCTTCCTTTCTTCTCACTGAAGCAACATTCCCTCCTTCATCTTTCACTCATTCACTCATCAGACATTAAGCACCTAACATGTGCCAGGCAATGAGAACTATATAAAATACAACTCTACCATCAAAGAGCCCGGTCTCGTAGGAAAAACAATCCCAGAAATAAATAATGGCAAAGGTGGTTGCTATACAACATAGCAGTAAGGATTAGAAGTGTGTCACTCACAAGAGGCGCACTTTTTTAAGCAGGGGTGGCAGGGTTGTAAGGGAAATCTTTACAGAAAATAAAGTGGCTTGAGGGGCCAGCAAGTGTGAGAGGGGGCATTCCAGAGAGGATTAATCACCAGTGGGGAAGGGAATTGTAGCGGATTAGAACAGCCTGAACATTGGGCTGTTTGTGGACGTGGTGAGAGATGAGACTGGAGAAGGCCGGGTGCCGCTCCTGCTGAGCCTTGTAACCACATGAAGAACTCAGCTTTAGCAAGTAGGCTTTGGCTTTCGTAGGCCTTTGAGTGGTGGCTCTGGCTGCGGGGAAGACAAGATGTTGAGGGATCATTGAGCATGATGGTCAAGAAAGAAATCTTTTTTTTTTTTTTTTTTTTTTTAAGTAGGCTCCATGCCCAACATGGGGCCTGAACTCACAACCCTGAGATGGAGTCACATGCTTCACTTACTGAGTCAGCCAGGTGCCCCAAGAAAGAATTCTTGAGACACTGTATGGTACAACTGAGTAATTTTTGGTAAGTAGCACAGGGACAGGACCCGGGGGCACAAAGAGCTGCACTTTTGCTGTATGAAGCTGGTGGTTATATGCTTAGTGCTCAAGGGGGAGAGGACGTGCCGGGAGTATTAGATCTTAAGTATCGACTTCAAATTTCTACTCGTAAAACTACCTCCGCAAGATTTCTCTATCATTCAGTTCCATATTAACTATCAGTGAAATTTACAGGCAGTGATGGAGACCCTTTAAGAATGTAGCAACCAGCACGCATTTGATCTGTACTGAAACTATGTAGGCCATAGGTGAGCCTTTCGGGCTAAAGGTGAACATGTTTCTGCTTTTGTCCCTCATCATTTCCCCCTGACCATTCTTTGGTCCTTAAATCTTTAAGGTTGTTGAAAGGGAAAGGGCTCATCTTCTGTAGCTTCTTCAAGTTGACAGGGGTCGTAAAGATGTCCCTACCTGTGGACCGAAATTGGCCACCATCTGTCCCTACAAGTAACTATTACGGAAGGCCACTACTGTAGAGTACAGAGGGGACATTGGGGTGAATTTGTTTTGAGTGGTAAGGCTCATCTATCGGCTGGGCAAAGGAGTCGGGAACTGCTTGCATGTATCTCAACAATAGGAGAGAACAAAGCAAAAGAGACAACATATTAGGATTCATATTATAATAAAAATAAGAAGTGTGATAAGAAGACCCTTTAGGGTGGACCACAGTCCACCTCCTGACCAGGAATTTAACCAATCATTAAGGCCTTTAAGACAATGCAGGGTCTTTAAGAGCACTGACTTGGTTATTTACATCAGTAAGTAAACCTGTTATATTTTTGTTATAATCTGGAATGTAGACACAACCTTCTACTTTAATAATGGCACAATAATGGTTCCTCCTTGTGCTGCTGTTAAGACATCTAATGCCATTCTATTTGGTAGAAATGCTTTACACATTTGAGTTACTTTAGTGTTTAATAATGTAATGCTATTCTGAGAGTCATTTAAGGCCTTAATTGTATTTATCGAGGACCTCCAGGTGCCATATGACATCTTCTAAAGCTACTGATGGAAGAAAAATAGATGTCAGATGGTCATACCCATGGAACATGGATCTTGTCCATCATTGTTTTAGATACGGAAGATTAGCTGGACTGGTGCTAGTCTTAGTGCTATGGCCGTGAATCTAGGCATAACCTATAGTACATCTTCCAGTCCAGCCTGGTGGAAGCCATGGCCACAGATTTGGCCCACAAAACCATCGTGTTCCATTAAGTGCTAGCCATCTGATATCTGGTCACCTTGTCTA